TATATATCTCTATAAATTATAAACTTATACACACACAGAAACAGGCAATAAACTTGTAGCGAATATAGCCTATGTAGCGTTTTTTTTAGTGTAGCGTTTTTTTAGTGTAGCGTTTTTTAGTGTAGCGTTTTTATAGTGTAGCGTATTTATAGTATGACCGTATAGTTGAACTAGTAGCTCAACTTTAACCTATCTTGTGTTGCGGAGATCAAATGGAACATTCTCTCTGGGTTAAATTGCTCTCGGCTTCACAAGATAAATATTGAGTAGTTCAACTAGCTTTCCTTGTTCATTAATTCCAATCTCTGATAAAAATATTTTTTTGTAAACTGTTAAAAGGACTTTAGATCAATTTTAAAGTGACCTTTTATTTATGTTTCGTCTCAATAATATTGATGGTAATATCCTTGTACTTTTCAACAAAAATTGATCATTTTCAATTACAGTTTCTCAAATCAAAAATCGGAATTATGCAGAAGAGACAATCAAACCAAATCATTGAACAGTTACATTACGTATAACTATTAGGATTAAAGACTAAAAATAAATAAATCAAACAGTGAACAAATATATATTGAAATATCCTGCCTTTAGCTCCGAGATCCTGCTTTTTCTTGTCATCAAGTTGAAGTTTAATTTCTCGAGATTCTTAGCTTCAACATTATCTTCCTTCTTCTCAAGAGTATATTTCTGGAACTTCTGAATAGTTTCCAACCCTTGGAGAAACATAACAAAACCTTCCTCCAACTCAGTTTCCTCATTCTTCCTTGATTTCAAGGAGACAAGCTCTAGATCTATGTCAGAGATGGTTTTGCTCTGGAGAGAGAGACAGTTCATCCCAGTCTCTAACTTCTCCTTCTCCTCGTCCATCTTGTTCCGGAGAAGGTATCCTGACCGATATTTCAAAAACACAAGGAAAATAAAGACGACTATAATTACACTATTTTCTGAATACCACTGTACTTCAAAATAAGCACGATTACATATTCAATTAATCTAAATGCACAAATTAACAAAAACTTAACTTTCTATAAAAAGTTAAGTTTTTGTTTTGTTTTGACGATACCAAGAACTAATCTTACAAAGTTTTAACCCTTTAAGTGTTCATTCTTCATACCCTTCAGGGCTGCTTCAACCAATCAAAACCGTCCACCTGGTTGACGGACCCTGAAACTTTCTCCGTACGAAATTATAATCCTGAACTAAACACCATCATTTTCCTACTTTGGTGAACTTGGTTTCCTTGATCCTCTTCTCAGCATTTAAATCTCCAGGTTGTGTTACAACCTTGTCCTGCATATTCTCTTTAGTTTCAATCTATTCTATTCTCCTCTCTTGTCATACGTTCATTCTAATAATCTGAAATAAACACAGTTTTATTAAAAAAAAAGACGTCTGAAAAAATCCCAAAGATGGATAAGATCATCAGGAATTATAATCTATTAAAGTTTAAAAAAACGTACTAAACACGTTCAGAAGAGAAGGATATTGTATACAATATACTTTACAATCATTTTACTTTTAATTTAAAAAAAGAAAATATCGAAAAGAAGTTTAGGATAAAAGGAATTGAGTCTTTACCACAAACTCTAATTTTTAAATCCCTATATCTTTGCAACCCAATTGTCGTAAACCTTTACAAATTTTTGATTTAGTTAGAAATACAGGGGTTAAAAAAGAACATACAAATTAACATGAAATCTTTATATATTCCGGCACAGATTTGATTTATTACGAATAACACAATAAACAATTATTTAAGTAGGATAAAGGAAATGAGTCTTTGCAACAAAATCATATTTTCTAATTTGTATATCTTCTCAACTAGTTGTTGCAGACCTTAGGTATTTCAAACTATGCTGAATCAAATAGTCTAAGTTTGACATATCAAAGGATTGCGCTATTAGGTTGAAAAGATATAAAGGTTTAAAAATTTGAGTTTGAGGAAAAGACTCAATTCCTTTACATATTGAAAAACAGTGGAAAAAAATGGTTTCCACTAGATAGCCTTTTATATACCCCCAAAATTGATTTAATGTTGTTAAATTTCAGTAAACGTATTAGATCAAGAAATGTTGAGGATAACCTTAAGAGACAAAACTTTCAAATAATATTCTTTCAATATGGATTCTTTAATGGTTCTTTCTTATTTGTATCCACGAGTCATTAAATTATGAATTGAACAGAAGGATATTGGGTACAAAGAGTGCTTCTAAGTGCAGTAGATATTCTGATCCCCTAAAGCCAAACAGTTTTCCATCTGATACCTGTCAAACTCAGTATATCCAGGAGTCCTCCAACTGTCAGATGTGGACACCCAGACAGATTCAGTATCTCTAGGTTTGGAAGAGAGTTTACTCCTTCCTCTACTCCAAGCCCGGTAATGCTAGTATCAGATAAATCTAATTCTCTAAGATAACTCCTGGATCTGTTCAATATCTCAATCAGTTCTTGATCTGATAACTTCAACCAACTAGTCAGTGCCAGCTTCTCTAGGTTTGGAAGAGTACTGGGGAGAAATCTGAATATATCTCCTGTAGACTTCATATGACTAATTGTAATAGATCTTTTATTGAGATTGGAGAACACTGTTTGAACGATTTCGCTCTCATCCTTATACTTCTCCTACCATAAAACCCTATATTGATAGTTTCTAGTTCCTGGTGTTTCTCCACCAAGTATTTGAACACTGGACCACAACCAGGAGTACTAAGAACACGGAAAAGAAATTATTGAATATTTTTCTAAAGTATTTTAAATAATAGTTTTCTTTAAATATTTAAATATTAAATGATGAACCATTTTAATAATTTCGCCTGAAAGACTTAATTTAAAGTATAAATTTAATATTGTTTAATTATTTCCTTAAATAATTTTCTGTCAATGTGTTTAATGTTTATAATAAACTTATTTACAATAAAATCCTTAAATTAGATTTTTCTTGATGTTATTAGGATTAATAATATAAAAATCGTGCAACTGAGAAATTTCAGAATAACATTTTTTGGAAAAGCTAAAAACCCTTTGCCTTTAAGCAGGAGAAGAAAGTTCCTGACATAGAGAATAGAATATATAGAGAGGAATTAAAAGAATCTCTCGGTATGAATTTTTTCAGTCCCTTTCAGCCTGAAAGGGAGTTCAAAGTGTACAAATCATGTAAATGTTCACAAATTATATGCAGTAGAGTACATTAATACGGTATGATCCCTAGACTAAACATTTCAATTTCAAAATTTTAAAGCTGTTAAATAAACTTTATAATGAATTAGGTGAATAAAAACATTATTTAATTTATAGTGATAACGGAAAATCATCGTTTGTACAGTGGAAGGCATAGAGTCTATGTGAAATGATCATTGGTCAATCATGAAACCAGCCTATTTCATAATTTGGTTTTCTTTTAACAATAATTTTAGATTTTCTATAAAATGATATTCCAGGGCCCAACAGGTTATATAGCATAAATATGTGAAGTACACCTGCAGTATGGAAACAGTACAACAAAATGGCCGTTTTACACTTTTTTCTAGTAAATTCCTCTCTATATATTCTATTCTCTATGGTTCCTGACCATGATTTGGGCAAAGACCAGACACTAAATGTCAGGTTTGGGCCAAAGTAGCAATCTAATTTTTTGTAACTGTTTAAATCTGTTAGTTTAACTTGAAAACCGTCCGCATCACAACATTTTTACCCGGTTTGAAACCTGTGTCCTCTAGAATTAATTTTAATAGTTGTTACCTTGAATGATACCAATATCTGGTATTGTTCTCAGCTTGTTCTTATCTACTATTCCTCTTATTCTCCAAACCTGGAAAATCTTCTCCAACTCATCAATCCGTCTACGCAAGGTTATACTTGATGCTCTTAGTGACATCTTGTCCTTCTTATTTAAATTCTTGAGCACAACTATCAGATCCACCATTATCTCTAATCCCGACAACGTGTTCTCCATTTCCTCAGAAATATTATGCTTCCCGTCTTCAATTTGTTCCCTGCTATGTGTCTCCAGAGTCCTGATTCAGTCAGCTGTTTACACAACAGTTTAAAGTTGGATCCAATATTCTAATTGAATCCAACTCCGGGTATACCTCTAACTGACAAGCTTTCTCCCGGTTAAATCCACCTCCTCGTGTTTTTGAACATTGCATGTATCCAGGCAAGCGAGACTAAGAAGTAGGGGTGTTTAATTGAAATTTCGGAATAACTCGCGTAATAAAGTCATAGTTAACGAATTTCCCTAAGAGAATTCAATTTGAAAACAAAAAATGCATGGAAGAGTCGAAAGTTTATAAAAAACATTTACTTAAAATCACAAAATTAAAACAATGTTTATAAATTTATTTCAAAATTCTTCCAAGAATTCGTCTAAGTATGAATTTTATTTATAATGCCCTAATGCAATATAGAACACATAAAGCGTGAGGACATATTAAACTGTACACGAATATAATTAGAGATAACGGTCAGATGTCAGTTATAGTCTATGTTATGTACACTGTACACTATACAGTACACGCTACAGAACATGTACATTTGTACAATTAGGAGAAAAAATTGTTAACCACAACATTTCATGAAATTCTAATCTAATATCACAATTAGAAGGGTTGTTGCAATATACAGGTCTGTACAGATGTAAATTGTACAACATCTGTACAAGAACCAGAGCTAAAATGATGTAAAATTAAATAATGAAGAATAAAATGGATGCAAAATAAAAATGGAGTATCAAAGCTTTGTGTTCTGATAAATGTTAATATAATCTTTCTTTTATCTGATTTCAAAATTGCAGTCAAACAAAACATGTTATGTACATTGTACAGGATGATCGTACTGCACTCTGTACTCTGTACAGATCTCTATGTTCTTAAAAATATAGGATTAACTATGGTCTGGAGATTGATCAGATAGAACTGATCTCGTCTTGTATAAATTCACGTTTCTTTTCGTGAGTTAACGAAATTCAAATCCCAAGATTTAATAGCTTTGGTTCAACTGGGAACCAAGTTTTCGGAGAAAATGTTGTCCCACCAAAGTTCAGAGTTAAAATTCTCCAGGAACCAAGGTTTCAGAGTAAATGTTCTCCTGGAACCAGAATTTCAAAGTAAATATTCTCCTAGAACCAAAGTTTCAGAGTAAATATTCTCCTGGAACCAGGACGTCAGAGTAAATATTCTCCAGGAACCAAAGTTTCAGAGAAAATGGTCTCATAGAACCAAGGTTTCAGAGTAAATATTCTCCTAGAACCAAGGTTTCAGAGTAAATGTTCTCCTGGAACCAGAGTTTTAAAGTAAATATTCTCCTGGAAACAAGGTTTCAGAGTAAATATTCTCCTAGAACCAAGGTTTCAGAGTAAATATTCTCCTGGAGCCAATGTTTCAGAGTAAATATTCTCCTAGAACCAAGGTTCCAGAGTAAATATTCTCCAGGAACCCAATATTCAGATAAAATTGTCTCATAGAACCAAGGTTTCAGAGTAAATATTCTCCTAGAGCCAATGTTTCAGAGTAAATATTCTCCTAGAACCAAGGTTTCAGAGTAAATATTCTCCAGGAACCCAATATTCAGATAAAATTGTCGCCTGGAACCAAGGTTTCAGAATAAATATTCTCCTGAAACCAGGCTGTCGGAGTAAATATTCTCCTGGAAACAAGGTTTCAAAGTAAATATTCTCCTAGAACCAAGGAATCAGAGTGAATATTCTCCTAGAATCAAGGTTTCAGAGTAAATATTCTCCTGAAAACAAGGTTTCAGAGTAAATATTCCCCTAGAACCAAGGTTTCAGAGTAAATGTTCTCCTGGAACCAGAGTTTCAAAGTAAATATTCTCCTAGAACCAAGGTTTCAGAGCAAATATTCTCCTGGAACGAGGGCGTCACAGTAAATATTCTCCAGGAACCAAAGTTTCAGAGAAAATGGTCTCATAGAACCAAGGTTTCAGAGTAAATATTCTCCTATAGCCAATGTTTCAGAGTAAATGTTCTCCTGGAACCAAGGTTTCAGAATAAATATTCTCCTAGAACCAAGGTTTCAGAGTAAATATTCTCCTAGAACCAAGGTTTTAAAATATTATTCTTCGGGTAGCAAGGCTTGAGAGTGAAAGTTCTCAGGAAGATTTGTCGGAAGATGATTTCAGATCCTGGTTCTTTGGCTTAGAACCGTTCTTACTCCAGCTTACATATCCTTCTCCGGTAAATCACCTGAACAGATGAAAAGGTTAGTGCTCATATTAGGATTGGAGAAATTTAGGGTTCAATTAAGTTCCATTTCTGGTCCTAAAAAACTAGTTCCTAGCGGTATTAAAACTTCAAACCCTTTTTTTCGTTTCCCCCTTAGCTTTCTGCATAATTGTGTACGTGAGCTACTCAGTACATAACAGTAATGTGAACTGCATTCGGAAGAAATTCGTAAGAAATTTCCTAAGCAAGTTAACATCCTACAGGGTGTCCCAAGGAACATGGGAATTGAGAGAAGACTTGAAAGTCGTCTTTGATTTTTGATATTTAATGGGTGTCAAACGAGGCTGTATGTCTTACGAGCTTTTCATAAAGTGGTCAATATATACCTTTCTTGTATCTTAAAAATTGACGAAGATTTTAGATATTAAGACAATTTTGTTAAATTATATAAATTGATATTTTTACTAATTTTGCAATATCTCCTTTAATTTTGAAGACACATAAGACCACATTTTGAAAATCTCAAGACCAGGCGTTTTCGACTTTAGATGTTTAAATTGGAATACTGCAATATTTGTATTTATGAAAAAATTCCGCTTGGATCGAAGACGATAAACAAGTCGTCATATAAGTCCCGTGTTTATTGGGACGTTATATAATTCCCATGTTTATTGGGACACCACCCTGTACTTCAATTTGTTTACAATAAATACCGGTTAATATTCTGTCCAACTTCTATTGGCAACGGCGTGCGCGACGAGCGTGTATAATGTGGAAATCAGGGGTATATATTTGAAATAATTCGCCCGCCCCCCCCCCCCCCCCCCCCCCCCGGAAAAGGGGAAATGATTTCTTAAGCTTCCAGGAAGATGGCAAGTTTTTTTACACCTTTAAGATACTTCTAATCTACAAAATTCATATTTTTCTCCTTTTATATAATTTCATTTACTTTTATTTCGCGAATATAATAGTTAATAATGAAATTTTTTAAAAACTTGTTTTTCCAGAGAGTGGAATGATTTAAGAAAATGATTTATTTACCCCTTTATACCAAGTGGAATTTTATTTTTACCGTCTATCCTTATACTGCAGGTATTCCTTGATAGGTTTGGGTAGGTTTAGTTTATCCAGGTGTCCCTGTTCTATCCTAGGTTTGGAAACCTGTTGTCGTATCACCCGTCTACATAGATCCATCAGAGGTAAGGGTTCAGCTGAAAATAATAAAATAATATTAATTTTATAGAGGTCGTGAGGACGAACTCTAATAAAACATGGCGAACTATTACCAGTATATATTTTAGTATAAGGTGAACAAGGGTTCGAGATAACTATATAATTCTAGAATGTTCCGAGCCCAGATGTTCCGTCTTTTTCCGAGTCTGGATGTGGAAATATTTTAAGGAGGCCGATAGTCGTCTTCCACAATTTTTTAGAATCAGAAAGTTTAGAGAAAAGTAGATTTTATCTTGAATGTTAAAATAGAGTTAACGAATTTCACAATAGAGTTGACAAATATTAAAATAGAGTTGACGAATATTAAAATAGAGTTGACAAATATTAAAATAGATCCCCCCCCCCCCCCCCCCCCCCCCGGAAAAGGGGAAATGATTTCTTAAGCTTCCAGGAAGATGGCAAGTTTTTTTACACCTTTAAGATACTTCTAATCTACAAAATTCATATTTTTCTCCTTTTATATAATTTCATTTACTTTTATTTCGCGAATATAATAGTTAATAATGAAATTTTTTAAAAACTTGTTTTTCCAGAGAGTGGAATGATTTAAGAAAATGATTTATTTACCCCTTTATACCAAGTGGAATTTTATTTTTACCGTCTATCCTTATACTGCAGGTATTCCTTGATAGGTTTGGGTAGGTTTAGTTTATCCAGGTGTCCCTGTTCTATCCTAGGTTTGGAAACCTGTTGTCGTATCACCCGTCTACATAGATCCATCAGAGGTAAGGGTTCAGCTGAAAATAATAAAATAATATTAATTTTATAGAGGTCGTGAGGACGAACTCTAATAAAACATGGCGAACTATTACCAGTATATATTTTAGTATAAGGTGAACAAGGGTTCGAGATAACTATATAATTCTAGAATGTTCCGAGCCCAGATGTTCCGTCTTTTTCCGAGTCTGGATGTGGAAATATTTTAAGGAGGCCGATAGTCGTCTTCCACAATTTTTTAGAATCAGAAAGTTTAGAGAAAAGTAGATTTTATCTTGAATGTTAAAATAGAGTTAACGAATTTCACAATAGAGTTGACAAATATTAAAATAGAGTTGACGAATATTAAAATAGAGTTGACAAATATTAAAATAGAGTTGACAAATATTAAAATAGAATTGACGAATATATAAGGAGAGTTGACGAATATTAAAATAGAATTGATGAATATATAAGGAGAGTTGACGAATATTAAAATAGAATTGACGAATATTAAAATAGAGTTGACGAATATTAAAATAGAAATGACTAATATTAAAATAAAATTAACGAATATTTAAATAGTTGACGAATATTAAAATAGAGTTGACGAACATTCAAACAGAATTGAAGAATATAAAAATAAAATTGACGGATATTAAAATAGAATTGACTGATACTAAAATAGAGTTAAGGAATATTAAAACAGAGTTGACGAAACTTAAAATAGAGTTGACGAACATTAAAACAGAGTTGACGAATATTTAAATAGAGTTGACAAATATTTTAAGTTGACAAAAATAAAAATTGACTTGACGAATATATAAGGAGAGTTGACGAATATTGAAATAGAATTGACGAATTTCAAAATGGAGTTGACGAATATTGAAAAAGAATTGACGAATATAAAAAATAGAGTTGACGAATATTAAAATAGAGTTGACGAATATATAAATAGAGTTGACGAATATTAAAATAGAGTTGACGAATATAAATAGAGTTGAAGAATTGATGAATATATAAGGAGAGTTGACGAATATTAAAATAGAGTTGACGAATATATAAATAGAGTTGACGAATATATAAATAGAGTTGACGAATTTTAAAATAGAGTTGACGAATATATAAATAGATTTAAAATTCAGTGATGGTGATGGACCAAACCTCTGTAGAGTAAAAAGTAGATGTTAGTTCCACATTTATTGAAAATATATTTCGGTCTGGGTTGACCCTCGTCAGTTCTTGAGTTTGTTTCTTCACAAAGATTAAAAACAAACAATAAATAGAGTTGACGACGAATATTAAAATAGAGTCGACTAATACTAAAATAGATTTGACGAATATTAAAATAGAGTTCACGAATATTTAAATAGAGTTGACGAATATTAAAATAGATTCGTCGACGTCTAATCATTCGTCCAAATATTTCAACATCGTTTAATCACATTGATAATTTTTCCATCTTTCAATAATCGGAAAACTTGACCATTGAATTGAAATAAAGAATCGCTGAAATCAGTTGATCTTATTTTTGTAGAAAATGCATCAAAACAGCCCCCCCCCCTCTCTTACAAAATAATAAAAAAATACTTACGGTCTAATCCTCCAATATATTTCATTGTGATCTCACAGTGCCCCCAGACTGCAGAGACGATGAGGTAAAGTTTAAGACCACGAAGACCTCGATGTGCAACTCCAAGATATTGTCCGTCAACTACAAACCCTAGAGTGCCTTCATCCATATCCAGCACAACTAAATAAAACAGGTTTTATTTAGTTGTAAAAGAAGACATTTCGAAAAATGCTTCCCCTCAGAATTTCTTCTTGAAGTTTGGTATCTTAAGACTCCATCCATACCTAGTACATCCTTGAATTCATATCTGAGTCCGAATTTAATAAATTTGAGCCGCGTCCCAAATCCGCCAAAACCGGTTTCAATTGAGCGACGGCTTAAATCTTGAAATATTGAACACAATTTTTAAGTGGAACCAACCATATTTGAGCCGCGGCTCAAATTCTTTAAATTTGGCCGAAGTATTAAGTTTAGCTTATAATTTTTTCCCTTGTGAATAAATTGTAACTTTTCAAATCAAGGGTTAACGCGGACACTGGATAGTCCCCTTCTCGAGGTTATCATTATCATGTAATCTTGTTTATTATAAAAAAATCTATCCAGCCCCTGATTGTCCCCATTACGCTATCTATTTCTCATAATCTTATCTAATAGTTACACTGTTACCAATTCAGAATTAGATTTAAATATTGCATCATTTAGTTTAAATCTGATCTAAAAATAGACTCGTATTAAGTGAATATTTCAATATGCAAAATAAAAATTTTGGAGAAAATTAGAAGTTTTGTGATAAATGCTTAATAAAAAAATTGTCTAATCTGAGGGTGAGGGGGACCTCAAAATAAAAAGAAAAAAGAAAATTTAATTCTTTTTAAAAAAATTATGACAGTAAATAAGTACTAATATTTAACGCTCCTAATTTCCAAAATAAATCATAAGTAAAAAGTTGTGTATTATATAATATATATGTTATATATTTCTTATATTTATATAGATATTATAAATATTATATCCACATCGGAATGTTTTAATCTAAAGTTTTTCTGTAAAAAACGCAGGCTTGTAATTTTTAAGGATTAAAATAACTTAAATACGGATTAATCCTTTCTGAAGGGATTAACAGTACAAAAGTTTCAACCTCAGGCTGATCAAAAGTTTTTACTTACTTAGAAATTTATCCGGTACTATAAAGGTTTCCTCCGGAGTTAAACCTTTAGGATAAGTTTCTCCGGTCTGGTTCTTACTGTCATGGTAAATCTAAACAAAAACTAATAAATTTTCTGTCCGTTTGATTGTTTAAATTTACGTCAACACGGCTGAACCGATCAGGCACAAATTTTTATATTAACTTGATTTAAATTTTTATTTTATTTTGTCATATCAAATATTTATAATTACAAAAAGATAAATCCGCGAAATTTTATAGTGTTATTTTTAAATAATATATATGAAAGGTGAGAAACATTTAAGAGCTAAACGAATTAGGAGACCAACAAGAACTGATGTAAGGAGCAACTTCTTCTCAAACAGGGTTATTGAACCCTGGAATAGATTGCCAACTGAGTTGAAAGAGAGCAGGACTGTAAAATCATTCAAGGATGGATTGGACACCATCATTTAAACCAAAGATGTTATATAGAAACCACACTGTAGCTCCTGTTATAATCCTACCTGGATTTCTAGGAGTCAACATAGAAGTATCGAAGTAATTGCTTAAAAAGGACGTGGCACGAAACGCCATTAAAGTCATTTTTTTTACTCCAACTGTTTGTTAAACTAGTAACTACAGCTGCTAGGAATAAAGAATATTGTTTTATTGTTTTGTGAAATTTTTGTTGTTAAATCTCTTCAAATGAAATTTAAGTATTTTTTTTTTTTTAAAGCAGATTTTCCTTTTAAATGATTGTGAAATTCCAAAGTTTTCGAAATATTTATTCATTTGTATGCCGTAAAAAATATATTTTTTTCTCATTTTTGTGGTGATAAAAATGCACGAACCTTTTTCTGGAAATTAAAAAAAAGTTCGCCCACTTTTTATGATGGACGGATTTTTGGTAACAATTTGATGACTTTTCTCTGCATTTTTTAACAATTGTCCTCTTTTCCCACTTATCTCTGCGGACCACTGTATTTTTTAACAAAAGATTGTCTACGTTTTCCGCTATTTTCTGTGAACACTGTACTTTTGAGTAAAAAATATGACCGCACGCTCAGCCCCCTAGCCTGTCCTAGCCGAAGCGCTCGGTCCAGAAATTGTATTAACCTAACCTAACCCCACATATCGGATATCATTCTATTGTTTTTGGTCCAGAACTTGTCTTAACATAACCTAACCCCAAATATCGGATAGCAATGTATTGTTTTTTATAAATAAGGCTGCAACGCTCGGTCCCCTAACCTGTCCTAGCCACAGTTCTCGTCCCAGAAATTGTCTTAACCATGCCTAATCAAATTTTGAGGTTGCCAAATTGTTGGTTACCAAATTGTCAGGTTTTGTTCGGATAAATATGACCACAGTTCTCGGCCCCCTAGTCTGTCCTAGCCGCAGCACTCAACCCAGAAATTGTCTTAACCTACCCTAACCAAATTTTGAGGTTACCAAATTGTCAGGTTACCAAATTATTGGTTACCAAATTATTAGTGACAAAATTGTTAAATTACCAAATTGTCAGTTACCAAATTGTTAGTTAACAAATCGTTAGTTACCAAATTGTTAGTTACCAAATTGTTAAGTTACCAAATTATTAGTTACCAAATTGTTCGTTACCAAAATTTTAGTTACCAAATAACTAGTTACTAAAAATCCACCCATCATTTTAATATTGGTTCAAAAAATTCTGATAAATAGCAGGTTTTTTTTCAAATAGTGTAAATATATATGAAAAGTTTTATTTCAACTGATGATTGGGTTAGACCCATGAAACAATTTATCTCGGAAAAAATATATATTTAAACATCTAAGATGTATATTTAAACTGAAAAAAGTTCAAAATACTATTTTTTAAAATCTTTTTAATCTTTCTTTAACTCTGTCATGGTGTTTATTGCATAGTATCAGTCTTATTTTTATCTTTTTAATCTTTCTTTAACTCTGTCATGGTGTTTATTGCATAGTATCAGTCTTATTTTTATCAATTTTGAGCCAAACCATTTAAACATAAGTCTTTTTTTCCGATTGGAGAATTTAATGAGACTTCGAGAATCTAGACAAATTTAACATTTTAGAATTTACCAAGTTTGCCGCGTAACCTAAATTTTTAGAAGAAACACTCCAAACACATTTTCTTAACTGTTCCAGGAGATCGGAATTCGTTTTAAGCAAGACTTCGGAACTATGATCTGTTCGAAAAGATTGTGAATTCGGAAACTGAAGTCATAATGTTTCCAGAAATTTGGTTCTAATATTTTTAATTTTAATTCTAAAATTTACCTTGTTTCTTGTGAGGTCCCAACCCCAGGAATGTTCATTGTTCCCGATCAAAGACTAAAGAAAACATAATAACTACAATAACATAACCTTTACGTTATTTCCACTAAGCCAGAGTGCCATAAATTATTTCAGCAGTAAAGTTCGTCTTTGCTGGAGAAACGAGGTCATAACTAGTTAATTTTAAATATATTTTTAACGCGCTCAGTCGGTTCCCTTCCACTAGCGGTTCAATTTAAACCTCAGTAGGTTCCCTTCAACTAGCGGTTCAATTTAAGCCTCTGTAGGTTTACCTTCAACTAGCGGTTCAATTTAAACCTCAGTCGGTTCCCTTCAACTAGCGGTTCAATTTAAACCTCAGTAGGTTCCCTTCAACTAGCGGTTCAATTTAAACCTCATTAGGTTCCCTTCAACTAGCGGTTCAAATTAAACCTCAGTCGATTCCTTTCAACCATCGGTTCAATTTAAACCTCAGTCGGTTCCCTTCACCTAGCGGTTCAATTTAAACCTCAGTCGGTTCCCTTCAACTTACTAGCGGTTCAATTTAAATCGTTGGACGCAGCCACCTCATTCTAAAAATCATTTAGTGTGAATTTCCCATTTTTTCCCGGAAATGAACTTTAATCCGCCAATTTAAAAGTTTACGCTATGGATATTGAGTAGAGTTGACAACTTCCCAAACAAACTATTTTATCCTCTGGACTGGAATTAGTCAAGTCATTTCTCTGTGTTCAGAAATGTAAAAATCCACACACAAAAAATAGCCGCCGAAAATCAATCCCACGTTATTATTTTGCAAGATGAGAGTGTTAGGTTTGCGATTGTTGATTGTAAAATGTACTCTTAAAATGAAACTTTATTTGGTTGGCAGGTTCATTAGATTGAAACTTGATTTTTTCGTTAATGAATTAAAATCCAGTTTTAGTTGAAAGCTGTTTTCGGATGATATTGATGATAAGCAGGTCTGGGTAACACTTAAAAACATTGTAAAGCTGCAGGCTGCAGGATTTTACGAGACATTATTACAGTGCTTAGGATCCAGATCCGCAAAAAAATGCGGATCAACGGATCCGGATCCAAGAAGTAAAATATCAACCAAAAACTGCAAAAAAAAACTTTTTTACTCCTAAAACCCAAATCTGAATTCCCCATTTCTGAATGGTTCATCAAGTTTAAGGATAAAATAAGCGAGAAAAAAATGTTTTAATTAAAAATTTATTTTTTGTTAAAAACACTAAGTAAATCTTAAAGAAATGACCGGATCCGGATCCATTTTTTTCCAGTGCGGATCCAGGATCCGGATCCGCATCAAAATTAAATGGATCATAAGCACTGCATTATTAGAATCAAGAACTCATTCATAAACCTTCTCACAAGATATTAGATTTCTTACAATTTGGAGAAAACTTCCGCCATCATCGTCAAAAATTCTACTTTTCCATCCATGTTTTATTCCCTGCAGATTAAACGAATCGTTTTTAAAAATTAAGAATCCTCTTAAAATGTGAATTTTGAAAAATCTTCATATTTTCGTCGATATTGGAATATTGCTAAGATCACGCGAAGTTTGCAATATACTTTCTAGTGAAAAGACAAATTTCTTTAGTTGAAGAAAAACGTTTCGAAGAAAAAAGTTTTTGTCACCAATTAGCCAGTTAGCAAAAAGTTCATTTTATAAACCTTTAAAGCTTTCAAACCTTATCAAAAATTTAAAATAACAAATAATAGTTTGAAATATCAATGGTTTACGACATTAAGTTGCAAATATATAAGGATTAGAACATGAGTTGGAGTCAAGTATTTAGTTTTTCGAATATTTGGCCTAATTTTCAAGGTTTAACAATTAAATAGCAAAATGTTTCATCGAAACCTTTATAAGCATTTTACCCACAAAAATCTCTTTTTGGGACAATCAATCAACGTTTGGTAGGCTAAAAATCATAAACGCAAATGGAACCGGACAAATCTCGGCAACTTGCTTGCTGTCCTGTGCTCTACAAATCAACATGTCGCTTGTTGTCACACGTTCAAGTGTTAATGTTGTAAATCATGCATCAATACTAACTTTTCAAAAAATTGGGCCAATTTTGTTGTTCAAAAACAAAAGTTATGGAAGAATGAATGTTTAACTTGGACAAGGCAATACCTGGTAACCAACTGAATGAAGAGGTGCTTCTGCTGTAGCTATCCCCACTACTGCATGCGTCCCTCGTTGTCTGGTCGGCCAACACAGTTCTATAACATGTAAACCTCGCTCATATCCAACCTTAGACCGGATACAGTCCGTACTCTGAGCAACAGGGTGTCTATGAAAGGTTAACTTATCGTCTTCCTTCACGAATATATTTAGAGATCTATCCTCTGAGTTCCAGGCGTGCTTGATCTGTGTATCTCGAGACGCTGAGGGCATGTCTAGGAGAAGTTCTAGGCGGGGAGGCATCTTCATATCAATAGATGCTCCCTTGGACACCTGGGCCCGGGTGGTTGTGTTCCCCTCCCTACTCGAGTGTCGGATACTACGGGATACGGTTCCACCCATGGTTTGTCTCCGGGATCTACGGATCTCCTGGTTCGAGTTCTCTCTTCTTCTCCGGAGTTTACGAGGGGGTGGAGACACGTAGCGTCTCAAACCGAGATCACCTTTTCTTTTCTTCCTGCAACAAAAAGACTAAATTAACATATGGATACATTTTGTCCTNGTTCCAAGTACACTCTACAGTATAGAGAACCTTGGTTCCTAGTATAGTCGACACACACACAAAAGAATATATTTGGCCACGATTTTAAAGTGTTTATTGAATGGTAAATATTAGAATAGTTGGGTTGGGTTGTTATAATACAAAAATTAAGTTGTTTTAAACTAGAAAATGTATTTTTTCCTCTTTGTTTAAAAAAAAAGTACGTTTCTAACAATTTCTTGTTAAAATATACGAATTGAAAATGTTAACCCCAGTTTCAGGTTTGAAAAAACTTAAACAAATGAATAAATGTTAAAACGAGTTATTTCCTTGGGTTACGTTACAAAACAAAGAAAGTTCTAGTCTAAAATATACTGCGTAACTACGCAGTTATTTTGGCACAATATATATCCCGGGCACGTAGCAAGAATTCCATGTTTCTAAACCCTACCCTCTGCTCTCTGAACTCAGTAGATGGTTCCCAGCTAACCGTAGATCCTTCTGTAGTTTATGTCGGGCCGGGGGACAACCACAATAGTCACAAAGAACTCGTCCACTTACACAAACATACACGGGACACTCTCCACAGCTTAAACAACAGCCTCGTTCGATATTCTGTATATCTCGGGACATGTTTCACCACCCAACATTGGTCCGATAGGGTTGGGTTCCTCTCACACTGCCAATATACACTGGTTCAACGCCCTGTTATGTTTTGGGACTGGAGTAAAGATGGCGGGTTGTGTATACCCGGGTTGGCTGGGATGGGATGAGCCCGGGAAAGCAGGGAGAGAACCCGAACCTGCGTAGTAACAATCCAGCACAGACACACACTTTATACAAACACACCAAACACTATATACGCGGAGACACACCTTGTTCTTTACCCAGACATAACATGGACATAGAGCATGGTAAAACCTTATAACAGGATTTTAAATCAGGAATGTTTTAATTTTGTAGAAATAATAGATAACATCCAGCACATATGTGGAATGTCCGATTTACAAGGTACCCTTACAGCTTTGCATACGCAAGAATAAACTTAAGACATGCAAATGCATAGACTGGATTTTAAATTAAACTTAAAGGGAGTGTTCGCGAAAAATGAAAGGGGGTTTAGACTTACGTCGAAAAATATTCGATTGAGCTACTAATCAATTACTTCTATCTGTTGCGTCTATCTGGAGAAAATTACGTTAAAAACGACTCATACCGAAACGTACCGTCCATCTAAATTCAGAAAGTTACAATATTCAACTCGGATCGTTAAAAGTCAATTTAATTTCAAACAAATCATTCAGATATTACCAAGGGCGGTTTCTGGATTTAAGTTGGGGGGGGGGGGAAAATGATGTTTTAGCGAGAAGCGTTAAATTTCCCCCCCCCCCCCTGTAATCTTGCAGAAAAAAATGGCCAAAAAGTTCTATTTACCTTACTAATTACAGTTTCTTTTACCAACTACAGGGCAGGCAAGTGTCTTAATAATCCATTTATTTATCCTATAACGATATAGAAATAATATTATGGATTGAACTTGAAAATACAAGTATACTTTTTTGGAAACTTTTTGAAAAACGACTTTTAGAAGAAAATCTTCTCGTTAAATTTATCAAAATTCTTTGGTATTTATATCGAGCTTAGATTTCTTGAGGCAAACTGTGAACTTTAAAAACTTTGCTCAATTACGATGCCCTTCCCCTGAAGTATTGAGTTAAAATAAGTTCTGGTTAACCTAGAAAAGTATCTGTACTGTACTGTGTAATATATGTAAAGGAATAATATTCATTATTCAGGGTGTCCCATTTCATACTCGATCGTTTTTAGCTCTAAATAGCAATTTTTGAGACTAATCGGAAAAATTTAGAATATAAAAATTTGCATGCTGAAACTACTAGAATTTTCGAGTATCATGTGAGTATTTTGGCGTTAAAGCTAGGAGATAATCCAATTTGATATGAGATGCTCTGTATTAATTGTAAGTACACACTGCACACACTGATAAGCTCAGATTTGATTTATTAGTTTCGGTTACACTTTAATCTCCCCGCATCCCCCATAATAATCTCAAACAAACAAAATTTATAATTTACTAATCCTTAGTGTCTAAGTAAATAAAAACTGCTATCTCAGCTATGACCCTCCCTCTCCCGGCCATTGACACGATTTTGAGAGATTTTAATCGGATTTTTTTTAAAAAAAAACTTGTTCCAAGTTCTCTAATCTCGAATTTTTTTAAACCTGGTTCCTAGTATACTATACAGTATAGAGAACCCTGGTTCCTAGTATACTATACAGTATAGAGAACCCTGGTTCCTAGTATAATCTACAATCTAGCTAACCCTGGTTCCTAGTATACTCTACAGTTTAAGAGAACCCTGGTTCCTAGTGTAATCTACAGTCTAAGAGAACCCTGGGTCCAAGTATACTCTACAGTCTAAGAGAACCCTGGTTCCAAGTATACAGGCTAGAGAACCCTGGTTCCTAGTATAATCTACAGTCTAAGAGAACCCTGGTTTCAAGTATACTCTACAGTCTAGAGAACCCTGGTTCCTAGTATAATCTAAAGTTTAAGAGAACCCTGGTTCCTAGTATACTCTGCAGTCTAGGAGAACCTTGGTTCTAGTATACTTTACAGTCTAGGAGAACCCTGGTTCCTAGTACACTCTACAATGTAGAGAACTCTGGTTTATAGTGTACTCTAGAGTATAGAGAATCCTGGTTCCTAGTATACTCTAGTCTGGAGAACCCTGGTTTCTAGTATACTCTACAGTCTAGGAGAACCCTGGTTCGAAGTATACTCTTCTAGAGAACCCTGGTTCCTACTGTACTCTAGTCTAGGATAACCCTGGTTCCTAGTATAATCTACAGTCTAAGAGAACCCTGGTTCCTAGTATACTCTACGATCTAGGAGAACCTTGGTTTTAGTATACTCTATAGTCTAGGAGAACCCTGGTTCCAAGTACACTCTACAGTATAGAGAACCTTGGTTCCTAGTATAATCTAGAGCGTAGAGAAATCTGGTTCCTAGTATACTCTACAGTCTAGGAGAACCCTGGTTTAAAGTATACTCTACAGAGTCTAGAGAACCCTGATTCCTAGTGTACTCTACAGTCAGGAGAGCCCGGGTTCCTAGTATAATCTACAATCTAAGAGAACCTTGGTTCCTAGTATACTCTGCAGTCTAGAAGAACCTTGGATCTAGTATACTCTACAGTATAGAGAAGCCTGGTTTATAGTATACTCTAGAATTCAGAGAACCCTGGTTCCTAGTATACTCTACACTCTACAGTGTAGAAAAACTCTGGTTTCTAGTATACTCTACACTCTACAGTATAGGAGAACCCTGGTTCCAAGTATAATCTACAGTCTATGAGAACCTTGGTTCCTAGCCTACAGTACCCTGGTTTATGATCCCTTCTTTAGAATCATATTACTCTGACCACATTCCCCAATCTAAGAGACCGACAAAGTCGGATTCAAAATTCGTTAATAATCTAGTTACTTCCTGTCACACCCATGCACAAAATTGATAGGAGGGGGGGGCCTGGGGGGGGGTCCAAAAATCGTATACTAGGAAATTACCGGAGGACCTAAATTTAATTAATTTATAATAGTCATTAAACAGAAAACTTCCAACAACTATAAATCTCTAAATATTTAGCGCGACTTACTACATAATACATAATACTGTTTGATTTCAGTTTTTAAATAATAAAAAAAGTTTAATAATACCTGTGTCTTTAAGGTTCAGGAGCAAGGTTCGCAGGTTCAGAAACAATTTAGAATTTTTCACGTGTTTAGGCGTTTTACAACGAAAATATCACTTGTCATTTTAAAAAAAAATAGTATTTTCAATCTAGTCGTCTAATAGTTTCTCTCTTTTAGTGTTTATCTACATTAGTTTTCCGGCATAAATCAAGTTCAATAAGTTTTTATTTATATTAACGAGGAGACTAGCCCTACAATACAGTAGCTGCTCTCTCGACGTGTTGTAACCGACTGAGGCTCTTGCTCTAGCTAGAGTCTAGAGAGTCTAGGCGCCATGTTGCCGTGAAGTCATAAACCAGTCTTACTAGACTGTACGAAATTACGATAACCGTAATTTTCAGGGGTATAATGTTCTTTTTTTGTTTTTAATTTTTAAAAAATTATGATGTTTTTTTATCAAATGTAAAATAAACTGAAAATATTTTTTAATGTATTGTCAGTGGATATATTTAAGTTTTTATTTCACAGGTATATTCATACTCATAATACAGGGTCATCCCACAAAGGATTAGACTTTGCAGAGACGACATATACGGAAAATTCAATCGGCTGCGTTCAATGCTTTTTGGATTACAAAATATCGCAAAATTTCATATGTTGATCGATTAGCTAATAATAGAAAGACATGCGTCGTAAACTGCAGAAAACTTAGGAATGGGAAGACGAATTAGACTTAAAAGTGATATTGTTTCTAGTTCTGTATGGGCTGAGCTGAATAGGAAGTCGACTTTTAGACTCAAGTTATGACTTTAAATAGTCCAATGAAGATGAGGCTCGGCACTTGTGCTGCAGTGTAAACAGAACCATTTCACTTAATAAGTGATTTAAATTTTTATGTACAAGAAAAGTTATTTGCATTAAAACAACATCTAATGCACTTCAGTTTTGCTTTAATGTCGTCTTCCTATTCTACAGTTTTCTGGTTATTACTGTAGATTATGAAAAAGCATTTAATTTTTGGTTTCTACATTTTAAACTTTATAACTTATAACTTGTCAATAAACCTTAAAAGCATTTTATAAAGTTTCTTGATTTCAATGAATTTCAATGAATATCATTTAACAAATTCTATAATGTTTACTTGTTAATTGTAAAATTGAAAAAAGGTTGTTAAAAATTAAAACCTAAATAGAAAAGTCGTCTTCATTGTAGATTTCCTTTCGATGATTTCTCCGATTTTATCTTGTTAGATGACCCAAAACAAATTAAATATTTTAATTCCATAAAACTTCCAGAAAATATTTGGGTCAGTTCTGTCCAGCTGTTACCGACATTTAGAGTTTTTTTAAAAGTTAGTTAAACACCTTTAAATGCCAATTTCCAAAATTTACCCTCAGCAACTATTTTTCGAGGAAAGTACTTGGACTTTTGGATGACGACATTATAGTAATACTTATCTTGCTACTTAAGGGGGGGGACCAAAAACAAAATCCCTCGTACGCCCCTGGAAGCAAGTTTGCTGTGTCTTATGCTCATTGGACCTTAAAGTAATAACTTGATTATTAATGTCGTCTTCCTTTTCCAGAGTTTTCTTGTTAAAAAAGTCTATTTAATAAAATTTTGTGTGTATTCAAAGGGAATCTAAATTTTTTCTCAAATCAAAGATTTAATAAACCTTAGTACCCTTTTTGAAGAGTTTTTATAAGTCAATCTGACTTTTTGCAAACGACTCTCAACCTTTTAAGGTTTAAACTTGGAAAAGTTCCCCCCCCCCCACCCCAATTATTTTTTTCGCATAACATTGTATATTGTGTATTCACATAGATTCAGCCTGCTATGAAAAGTCGCATTAATTTAAAAGATTGAAGTGTCCATCGCCTTTGGCTTCGATTTTATCGCTCTAGTTTTTATGAAGTAATTGTTAAAATTCTCAAAAACTGTGGGCCCGAGAGCTTGCAACCTTTAAATCACAGTGTATTTAATACAATCTTAGTGAGTCAGCATGATTTAAAGTGCAATCAATTTCATAAACAGTTTTATGATCTTTTAAAGTATAAAATTATTGATATTTCTTCACAATAAAGTCGCACTTACGCAACATTTTATTAAAGGAATATTTCAAACATTATGAAACTGTTTGAATAAGAATCATGAATTAGAATCTCATGGTGGGAAGAATTAGAATCTTCTTCTATTTATAATAAAAATAAATATTTTTTTGTGAATTCTTTCTCAGATCTTCATCTGTTTTTCTATTTATTTTAGGACGCAACCAAATTTTATAGCTTGGAAAACCCTTAGTTCAGAAAACACAGTTTTAACTAAGTCGGATGAGCGGGAACCAAATTGATCTAAACAATGAAAATATCTCTCAAGCTGGTATTATTGCAATTGTGGGGATTCTTTGACTACTATATGATAATGATTGGACCAAAGGGTTTCTTACTTGTTCTGTTTTTTTTCATGGATCAAGAAGTTAGGTTTAGGATCAAGAAGTTAGGTAATTAGGACCAAGAAGTCAGGTTTAGGTTAAAGAAGTTGCAGGTTTAGGATCGAAGACTGATCAGGTACACGCTTAGGATTAAATAGTTTTGTTAAGAGTTGATGAGTAAGTTTTAGGATTAAAAAATAAGATTGGGAGATTTAGGAACAAGAATATAGGTTAAGGATTATGAAATTATAGGCTTCGTATCTAGAAGTCAGGTTTAGGATCAAGAAGTTAGATTCAGGATCAGGGAGTTAGGTATAGGATTAAGGAGTCAGGCTTATATTCAAGAAGTTAGGTTTAGGATCAGGAAGTTAGGTTTAGGATCAAGAAGTTTGGTTCAGTATTAAAGAGTTAGGTTAGGATAAAGAAGTTAGGTTTAGGATCAAGAAATTAGGTTTAGAATTAAGGAGTTAGGTTTACGATCAAGAAATTAGGTTTAAAATTAAGGAGTTAGGTTTAGGATCAAGAAAATAGGTTTATGATCAATTAGTTAGGTTTAGAACCAAGGAGTTGGATTTAGGATCAAGGAGTTTATAGTTTTATATGTATTTATATAAATATGTTTTAAAGATAGAAATTAAACGAAACTGTAAAGTGACCCGCGGATCCATCAGAGACAATAAAGAAAATGTGCATAAAAATACGAAACTGTAAAGTGACCCGCGGATCCAGCAGAGACAATAAAGAAAATTTGCATAAAATGTGAATCGCACATGTCACTCTATAAATATGGGTCGCTTGAAAAGACGTCAGAGCTCCTTTAAGTGAAACACATTGAAACTAGAAATTAGAGAGAAATAAAGAAAAAGAAAGAAATTTAAAGACGACATTCTTAGATGCAAAATCCACGAATTTCAGCATTCAAAACTGGGAACTTTTGAATAGTGGGAAAGGGTTAACTCATTCTCTACTCCCAGGAAAATTTACCCATCTTCTCTCATTTGTCAAATATATGATTTTATTCGTTAAGAGAGATTATTCAACCTTCCAGCAGGTAATGAAAGAATTACCTAAATGGACTGTCGCAGTAAATTCAATGACCGTCGATTTCAAGAGAGGCAGTTAGATTTATAACAGTATACTGTAAAGCTTTATGATCAGTAATGTAAAGATATTGTCGTTTTCTAGGATGAAAAGTGTTTCATTTTCACAATTCCTCAATGACTTTGTAGCAAGAAATCCGCAAGTCGCAATTTAAATTAGATTTGATGAGAAATCATTGATATCTCATTCATACTTGATCAGACAAAGCTTTTAAGTGTACCGTTGTGAATCGAACACGAAGTTCTTTTTAAGTAAAGGGTCACCTACAGGGTGTCCCACGAAACATGACAGTTGGTAAATAGTTTTAAATGTCTTCTTCCATAATTTGTTAAGTTGTTTGATGCTCCTGGAGTCATAGGTCTTGCAGGATCACCATGGCAAGATCAGTTCCTTGCAAAGGGTAATCCGGAGAGAATATGGCAGCATTTGATATCCTCAATGATGCTGATGATTCCGAACTATTGACCAACTGCCATGTTTCATGGGACACCCTGTACGTCTGCAGTCCCTCAAATTATCAGGATTGGGACAGATTTTAGCTACGTAAGAAAAATGTCTATAATTTGACGAAGAAACTGAATAATAGCATCAAACTCTCTTTTCAATATCTTTACAACTTGATGGTGTAAACAGTTTGAATATTTAACATTTTTACGATTTGATCTAAATGAATGGATAGTTTAAAATTTCAGAATTCTCTGACATGTTGCAAAGAAATATAGGGAAGTGAACATAAGAGTTTTTCATTACTTTTTGATTTCTCCCATCCAACAATGATTAATAAAAAAATCTTGGATTTAAAATTTATGAAACAAGGTCTGATTTCGGTAATAATTGAGCAAGCTAAAAAAAAGGTGCATTCAAAAAAACTTTTAAAGGAACCATTTTCAAATTCTAAAAGGGCCGGGGTTACGAGCCATAACATGACATAACATAACCGTTGTGGAGTTTTTAAATGCTCCGTAAATAAACCTATGACAAAACAGAAAAAAATCAGTGTTGCCCTCTTTTAAAGTTTTATAAACACTCCCTTTAAACTGAATGAAATGCAATTTACTCTTTCGAGAAATATCATTCTTTTAAAATGGAAAATGTTTCTTTTTTGTCTAAGCTTTGACAAGGTTTAGGAATACATTTCTCCGTCTCCGGGTTCCTCTTATCACACTCTGGACTATCCTTCTCCTCCGGAGTTCCACAGTTCTCCACGTCCTTCTTCTCCTCCTCTATACTTTTATCCTTACCATGAGGAGGGTTTACTCCTGGTTTAGTTTTATACTCCGCGTCATCCTTGCATCCTCTCCCCTTGATGTACTTGTTACTGCAGAGTCTCGTCTCAAGGATCTGTTTCTCAAAGGTCATGGTTACAACAGTTCCGAGGACTAATAGAGCTCCGACTATATCTGTCCACAGGGGCAGAACACCGAAGAATACAGCCTTAAATATTCAATAATTAATAAACTGAAAACTCCGGTGCATTTAAAGTACTGACACGACTTGTAAGCAGCTAGAGCAAGTCATGTACACTGTACAGTATACACATAGACTGGCAAAACGGGAGAGTACATCAAATGAATCATCCCCTTCCAGGGAGTTAATAGCTATTTTTGTATAGAATTGAGAAGGATATTTAAAATCTCGAAATATATTTTCTCTGAGTCAAAAGTCAATAGTCAGTAGTCATTAGTCAGCAATCAGTAGTCAGTAGTCAGTAGTCAGTGGTCAGTAGTCAGTGGTCAGTAGTCAGTAGTCAGTAGTCAGTAGTCAGTAGTCAGTAGTCAGTAGTCAGTAGTCAGTAGTCAGTAGTCAGTAGTCAGTAGTCAGTAGTTAGTAGTGAATAAGATGCGGAAGATGGTTTGAACTGCTAGGAATGCAATTTGGGGGCTTGGCTGCATACTGCAGTATGCTTGTATGCCTGTATGTCTGAATGTCTGTTCGTGTCCCATATTGAGAGTCTACCAACAATTTACAGGCAACAGGAGAAATACTGGTTTATAACTTTACTTTTAAATTTTAAGGTTTATCCGAAGTACTTAAAGAAACTCAATAACTAGGGTTGTGACGGTAAGCTTAAAGGAATTAAGTCTTTGCCACAAACTCTGATTTTCTCATCCCTATATCTTTGCAACCCATTGTCCTAGACCTTAGATATTTCAACTATGTATTCTGTTTGGTTAAATAGGGACGGGTGATGTAATTTTAAGCAACCATCCATTTTCAAAGGTACATTAATCCTTCGTCTGCATAACAATGATAAAGATATTGTCGTTTACTGTCTTTAAAAGAGCTAACTTCTGTCGACTCCCTCCTTGTATCTGTTGGATAAAACCTTAAGTCACTCGTAGAGAGGAACCGTAATTAAAAATGATCCATTCTTAGATAGGTAAACAAGGACATCTCTGACAAAGGTTTACAGGGTTCCGATATAAATCGCGCTTTTAACTACGTCGGTCGAAGTCCATTTAACTTGAACAGCTGATCAACCGTAATTATTTTGCTTATTTTAATATCATGCATTAAAAGGGATTGTTCAACTATTTCAAATTACACATAATATCTAATTTTTAAAATTTAGGATTACAATTTACCAAGACTGTCTTACAGCTCCAAGAGACAGAATGCCCGAAACTTTGTCTTGAGATCACTCGGAAATCCGCGCTTTTGCATTAAATTTTGCGGATTTTTTTGATACAAGGATTTCAAATGAAAGCAAATTTTCGCTCAAAACGGCGTTTTGAGCAGGTTTGAGGCTTAAGCAACAGTTTATAAATATCGCAAGCACATTTACATGCGATCGAAATTCACAAGAAAACTACGGTTTTCTGAGTTAACACTCAGAGTTTGGATATTATGGCGCCTGCAGGAACATATCGGTAATTGTATAGACTTAGATGTGATTCTAGAGGAGATTATATACATTTACAACTTTTTCTGATAAAGTGTGAATTGAATATTCTTGTTTTGATTTTGAAAACTGTTTATTTGTAATTTTGGTGTCTCTACAAAAGTGACGTACGCATTTCTTGCTTTAGAAATACTTGAGAATTTATTGGAATTAAACACTTCTCAAGGCAGAACAACGACGTTTTCCTTCATATTATTGATCAGATTATGGTGTCAAGGATACTGTCTTGATTCGGGTATATGCCTCTCTAGTTTAAGTGGAGGAGCACTGAAAATTAAGTAAATAAAACATGTAACCAAGAGTAAAGATACCAAACAAATATTTAGCACTTTTCAAGTGAAACTATGTACGCTATGGGGGAATAAGTATCTCAGCTATGTATGCTATGGATAAATAAGTACCTGAACTATGTACGCTATGTTGAATAATTATACCTGAACTTTGTAGTTATTGTTGAATTAAGTACCTAAACTATGTACGCTATGGGTAAGTAAGTACATGAATTATGTACGCTATGGACGAATAAGTACCTAAACTTTGTACGCTATGGAAGAATAAGAACCTGAACTGTGTACGCTATGATGAATAATTATACCTGAATTCTGTACGTTATGGATTAATTAAGTACCTGAATTATGTACGCTATGGATGAATTAAGTACCTAAACTATGTACGCTATGGATTAATAAGTACCTGAACTATGTACACTATGGATAAACAAGTACCTGAATTATGTACGCTATGGATGAATTAAGTACCTGAGTTATGTACACTATGGATGAACAAGTACCTGAACTATGTAAGCTAGAACTATCTGAGATTGCCGAACAATTGTAACTCTGGAAGGAGACTCCAGACTAACAGCATATATGAGCATATACTGCTGTATAATACCCAGGACAGCTATACCAACAGCTAGTCCCCACTCCCATAGAGGAGGGTTACTAGGAGTACCCAGAGTAAACAACCCAATACTCCCGCACACAACAGAAGCCAGGCCCAGGTAGAATACGATCACGTTCTTCTCCACCTTCTGGCTGATCTTCTTGGTGAACACGATCCCCAGGGCGGAGCTGAGGCAGGCCAGGGTTACCAGGGAATAACCTAAATATAAAAAATACAAATAGGATGTTTTTTCAAATTCATGTTTCTTGAGTTCCAAGTTTAAACGGTATAACGGTATAAAGGTTTAACGGTATAACGGTATAAAGGTATAACGACATTCACGACATTAGAATAATAAAGATAATAATGTCGTTTTTAATTCAATTGGCCTAAATTCCTTTTTCTGATGATAGATTCTAAATTAACCCTAAAGAGAACTGCAATTGAAAATAATCAGATAGAAAATCAGATGACTTTGCCAATTTTTTTCTGACAAAGGTTGAAAAGGTACCATATTGTGAATCGAATATGCACTAACTCTATAATATTTTAAAGATTATTTTGTTGAAGGAATAAGAAAGAAATAGTTTGAAAGTGTTACACAAAAAAGATCGAACTCCAGCGAACACTTTAATTTTTACTTTACATGAAATCAAAAACACATTTAAAAAAGAAATAAAAAGTTTTTATGTTTTTACAAAGAACTGATCACTCTCTTCCTAATCAAATTTTCTAATCCATATATCATTGGAACCTGACACTTTAACTAAACTCTAAAGAAATATTAACAAAGGTAAATAATCAGGTTGGAAGTAATAATCGGAAAAGGAATATTAAAATCATTAAAAATTGCTACTTTTGACATCACCCAAACATGTAACAATCCCTGTAAACTATCTCCATGTGTCGCTGGAGTCTGATCCTGTGTGTAACCCTGTACCTAGAGCATCATATTCCTCAACCTGTGAAGACCCGAAGATAAATGGTGGTTTAGCGATGAGTACTACTCCGGAGATAAGAGTAGTTCCAGCAAACAGTCGGAATAAACCACAGCTCTCCTGAACCAAACACAATCTTGATTGGAAATAATTTTACAAAATATATAATCAATTATTTCTCTCGAAGGGAATATAGTCTTTGGCACGTTCTATAATTTTATAATCCCATATCTCTGCAACCCAATGTTGACCTGAGATATATTTTAAACTATGTATTCTGATAAATCTTGTAATATAAGTTTGAAAAATCAAAGGTGTACACCATTATGTTACAAAGATTTAGGAATTCGAAAAATTGAGTTTGTGACATAAACTCAAATTCTTTGAATCGTATGAGATACAGAACTAAGGAGGGTAGGACCCCTGTTGTTTATATTCTACTGTGACGTATTAGGTCAGCTCTAGAACCAGTTTTATTGTAAACAAAAAACATTTGGTAAACAGGTATAGTTGATGTCGACCCTTCTTCCCTACTGATGAAAAAATGTCTATTGTTTACAATAAAACTAGTTCCTGAGCTGTCCTATTTTTAATAAAAATGTTTCTAGAATTAATTTAGAAAGCTATGATCAGCTGTGAAAAGTTCAGATTCTTTAAAGACGGTTTTCGACTCTGAATCTTATATTTGATTTTACAAATGTGTTTCTGAAATCTGTTTTATCTAAATCTTTCTTCCTGAAAGGTTTAATTAATGCAAAACTTGTTTTTTGAAATTTAACAAAGGAATTGAGTCTTTGCCACAAATTTAAAGTTTCTAATCCCTATATCTTTTCCAATCTGATGGTGTAAACCTTAGATATTTCAAACTTAGATTATTTTATGTAACAGAATAAATAGTTTGAAGGTCTCCGACATTGGGCTGAAAAGATATAGGGATTAGAAAATCAGAGTTTGTGGCAAAGACTCAATTCCTTTACTTTCTTCCGTGAGCGAAGGATGACTTTAATCATATAAACTATATTTAATTTTTTTGTCATATTATCCTTTAATCTTCAAGTATATTAGCATTTTTAATGATAATTATAAAAAACTAACTTAAATGAAAATATGTATTATTTAAAAAAAAAAATAAACTGAAATCTCGCCTCAAACTCAAATTTTTAAATCCTATTATTTTTGGATCCTGATGGTGAAAGCCTTTAAATTCTGAGGTCAAGTAATCATTGGGAGTTGAAAAATCTTGATTAAAAGTAAATTCCTAATTAAAGATTGTTTTCCTTGAGAATACATATTGAGAGAAGCATCACAAATACAGGAGAAGAGAAGATGATTGTGGTTGAGTCCCCCAATGGAAGTCTGGAGAAGGATGTAAATATAAAGAGCAACCTCAACCCTCCTGTGATTGAAACAAAAAATAGAATTAGAGGAGCACATTTCTCTCTTGATCCTATGAAGGACATTTTTTTATAATAAGCCACAGCTCCGAGACAGACTGCTTGGATAACTCCTCGGATGATGACAACCTGCATACTGTCCATCTCCACCAGGAACTTGATCATACTGGAGTACACTGTCATGAGGACCCCGGAGAGGAAGGCCAGGAGGAGCCCGGTGGATCTGTGGCAGAGAGCTCGTCCCGCATCTAGGTCTACCTTACTGGAGATACGTGAGGAGGCTACGGAGAAGAAAGATAGGGTTGAGGATCCTGCGGAGAGTCTTGAAGATGCTCCGGGTCGTATCTCTGCACTCTCAGGGTGTAAAAAGTTGGGGTTTTCTGAATTTGAGTTGCCACACTCAACAAAGTCATTTTTATCTTCATCAATAATACATATCACTGGAATACAAGGTTGTATTATCCCTGAGTCCGCCCCTGTGTTCTGTGAACCCGGAGAAGGTTGATCGTCCTGTAGCATCCTAACAGATAAAAGTTGAGGTACCACCATACTTGAAGACGGTATTGTAACTAATGATTAATCTAAACCATCCACCCCCACCCTTACCCCACCCCTAGATACAACTGACCTTGTAAATTTTGCGCCACAGAACTTGAATTTGGTGATGAACCTGCCCAGGTTGTGCAGGGTTTACTCCGATACTATCAAACAGCTGCAGCTCTGGGAACTAACCGGTCTTGTCTCACTAATGAGTTTGGGGCAATCTATGACGTAGGAAGAGGATAAACAAACCGGGTTCTATCTTCTCATCTCGGGTTTATGAATCCATGAATCTACGCTGAGAAATCTAGAAATATTTTGAGATAATCAGATAAAGATGGTTTAGCAGGTCAAACAGTAAATAAAAATTGTCCACATAATTCATTAACCTCCAAGTGTACAGTAACCGTTAGCTGCTAATTATCCTCTGACGTTAGAAGTACAACAAACATCAAGCTCTTTCATAATCATGTACTTTCAAATATTTTTGAAAACGCACTTTGAAGAAATTTTAAAACCCCGCTTTTTAATTTATGACTTTTCGGTTTTCTTTAGACTTCCGTCAGGCGCGGTGGTTTAAACAGAACCATATTTTATCAAATATTCACATCTTGTGGAAAGGTACATTTTGGTGGGAATTACTCTAGCTTTGAAGGCGAATTGACCTTGAGTACATGAACCTGAAAATTGACCTTATTTAGCCTTGATAATATATCTACATATACTTGCTTTGTCTCTTTGTTTGTTGCAGTTTGGATCTAGTAAACAGCTGAACCAATCGGGTCGATATTTTTTTTCTGATAGCTTCCTGGAAATTAAAGGTGTTTTTATGTCTCCGATCAGGATTAAAAGAAATTACCCCAAAAATAATGAATTTTTAAAAATCCGCTAAATAAAATCATGAATGCCACGGAATTTTTATTGTCTCATTTACGAAAATTCATGGTGTCAGCTGGCTACTGTAGAACTATAATATGACTAGAAAGTTGGCGCCCTAGCTGAAAGCTTAGTTTTAACAGAAGCGATATATGCTTAAAGTCCTTCCAATCTTTACATCCAATCCAATAAAACAATAAATAATTAAATAAATAAATAAATAATACAACAATTTTAAAGAAGAATAAGTTCCATTCTTTGAATTTACGGAATTGTTTTAAGACATTTCTAATATCTGATAGAGTAACAACATTTGTATTTTGTATAGACTACATAATTCATCACCCTGTATAGAATATATATTTATATATCCCCCTGCATTCTTTATCTGAAAGCATATTTTGACACCCTGTATATCTACAGTTCGTTCCACTGAATTATACAAATGTTGAATTAAAATTTAAATGATTTTAGTGATCATTCGGGGTAAATTTAGATAAAAGTGTTTTATACAAAAAAATATGTCAACTAATATTGTAAATGTGTTTGCCGTTGTTTTTAGTTGAAATGATTTTGGTTTAGAGTTCAGAAAGGAATTAACATTTTTATGAAAGTAATCTTTTTTCATAGATATGGGAAAGCAAATGAAAACAAGTTTATCAGATACTTATTGGATTAGAAATATTTTATTGGTGAACCAGCATACAATTCAAGGATATTTAAATGCAGGTGTTGATGAACAGAAAAGGTATCCTAAAGGTTGCGATATCCTCAAACTCTAAATGGAAATGACAATGAACCCGCACAGGACCCTAAAATCACTTTTTGAAGCAACAGGGGTGGCTGTAACCCCTAAAATGGCTAGTTGTAGAGTTCTTAAAACAATGGGTAGGTTTGTAAAGTCCAAACTTCAATTTAATGCATTCTACTATTGCTATTCGCAAATGACATGTTAATATTTGCAAACCAGGAGCAAGATACAGTCCAGGTGCATAATGCAGTGGTATACTAAAGGAATTGAGTCTTTACCACAAACTCTGATGTTCTAAAACCTATATCTTTGCAACCTAGTGTCTTAGACCTCAGATATTTCAAACTATGAATTCTGTGAGATCAAATAATCAAAGTTTGAAATATCAATAGTGTAAACCATCAGGTTAAAAAGATTAGAAAAATTGAGTTTGTGGCAAAGACTCAATTCCTTTATATAAAATACAGAGTATTCAAGTAAATATATAAAATTTGATTTTTGTTAGATAATTTTCGGCAAAAAAGATATTACAAAGTGAGTAAAGTGTAACTTTACACACTTTTTGCTTATTTACTTTCATATTGGAAATCTCTAAGGCCCCTTTTTTTAATTTCAAAGTAAAATTAAGGATTTGCATAATTCTGTGGAACGCACTGTATATCTGAATACATATTTTGACACCCTGTATATCTATATGTGGAAGCATACTTTGACACCCTGTGTATCTATATGTGGAAGCATACTTTGACACCCTGTATATCTATATGTGGAAGCATACTTTAACACCTTGTATATCTATATCTGGATGCATACTTTGACTCCCTGTATATCTATATCTAGAAGCATACTTTGACACCCTGTATATCTATATCTGGAAGCATACTTTAATACCCTGTATATCTATATCTGGAAGCATACTTTGATACCCTGTATGTCTATATCTGGATAATACTGGTTTGTTGCTGCAGCTGCAGTTGCATAAAGCAGACAATTGCTGGAGATGAGACAGGACCGTCAGATATACGATATCCATATATGGAGATAAACCTTATATAAACGTAATTAGTTACGGACTCAATAATATACTTATGAGATTTTAATTGTAGGCTATGTTAACTGATCTATCTAATAAGTGTTGTGTAAACTGATCTACATATTCCATATGAACAAAATCCACATTCAACTTGCTTAATTGAACTAATTATATCTTTTTCGGCCGCCAATTTTTATGCATTGCAATTTATCATATAGTGCAGTTGAAAATTGTTCAAATGGACAGAATATTTTCTTTGAAATTTTAGTGCTATTGAACATTAGTCCTAATGAACATTTTCAACATAAAAATTGTTCAAATGGATTAAATATTTTCATGAAAATGCTAGTGCTATGTAACCTTTAAAGTCCTAATATACATTTTCCACATAAAAATTGTTCAAATGGACTAAATATTTTCTTGAAAATTTTAGTGGTTTTGAACGTTAGTCCTAATGAACATTTTCGGCAGAAAAATTGTTTGTTCGAACAAATGGAACTTGTGGCAAATGTTGAAAATTTCAACAATTCCTAAATCCTAATGCATTATCATCTATTATTAATCGACTATCTTTGGTATTATTCAAGAAATAGCATCAGGAAACGTTTATGGCCGATTATCATTTTTTAAAATTAATTGCCAATGAAAAATTTCGATATTTAAAAAAAGTTTAATCCCCCAATGATTCTTTATTTTTATTTTTATTGTTTCTAAATGTATGAAAGAAAGACATACAGAAATATCAACTACAAAAAGTTAAATAAAATTACATCATCTAAGCAAAGTAAAATGGAAACTGTTTGAATATTTAAATTTACAGTTTTACGACCCTCTCCTCCACTTAAAAATATATAGCAAGAACGAAAAGAAATATTTTTTGATTTTTAAACTGAAATTTTGATAATTAACGAAAATAAGAAGTCGGTCTAAACGTAACTGAACCTTGTTTTTAAAATCAGCTGTGTAATGAAACATTTTTGGTAAAATGCCAGATACCTCGTACTTTTTATTCACATTCAGCATAGTTAAAGAACATAAACTCATTATAGCCGGGGGNCTGCCCCCCCCTAGAAGCTCTTAGGGGGGGGCAACATTTTTTTGGCGCATATTTTGCCCCCCCCCCCTACATTTATTTCTGTATACGCCCTTGTTCGCAATTAAAATATAAGATTAGTCTAGTAATCGTTAAAATAGTTTGATATTTGATATATCTTTTATTTTTATGTTTGTTCGGAACTGTTTAGAAGATTGTTTGCCATATGAGAGTACGCTTAGAGTCTGGAGTGCAAAATTTGATGGATCCCCTGGTTTCTCAAATCAAGTACTTTCATGCTTGAAACAAAAATTGTATGACAATTTATGAATAAAAGTCTTTTAAAGTAACCAATTTTTAGTAAGATATTCCAATATTAGTTTGAATTATTACTGTTTAAAGTTTTCCTTTAGAAGTGTAATTGAAAATAAAGAAATCTTATTTATTTTTTAGTTATTTAAATTACCGAGATCCATGTAGCCCAGAGTTTTTTGATTGAAAAATTTTTTCTGCTTAAATGAAAATAAATATTTTCAGAAATACTGTGATATACTGATTAGCCTTAGGGAGTGAAGTACATGGCCTGTACAATTAGTAAAGGATTAGCGTACATCATCACTCTATATGCTATAACCTCATTGTATAGCATAGATATAAGAGAATTCAAAATGTTTAAATTTTCAAGTTGAATACAAATGTCGTCTTCAAGGTGAAAACTTTACAATTCTTATGCAAATTATCATTCATAAATGAAATGACAATAGTCTTTGGGTTTAATTTTATTTATGAAAGACACACCAGGATAACATATATCTCTAGATTATTGAAAATGGTTTGTTCCGATACTTTCATTTTCCGGAAACAAGTGCAAATATAGAGAAACAAAATGCAAGCTACCTCTAAACTATAATCGGCAAACTGCGCACAGAATACCCAAAGAATTATCATATTACACCATGTAAAACATTAAAAAGATTTTAAATCTTTCTGCAGCATGTGTCCCAAAAATCCCATTTTAAACATTCAAACCCTAAATGAGCCATACATCGAAAGAATTTATCAAATGTCGTCTTGACAATTTTTCATTGGGTTTTACACTATTTTACTTAAATCTCAATATTTGCGAGAATACAGTGAAACCCTTAATAACGAATACATCGGAAAAATTTATCAAACGTCGTCTTGACAATTTTTCAATGATTTTTATACTATATTACGTAAATTTCAGTATTTGCGAAAATAAATAAATAGCCATGAATATGCGGGAACAGTTTTAAAGAGTTCCAAATAATCATTTAATTAAAAAACTAAATATCTGCAACATTCCATTATCAGAAAGTAAAGAATACGACATTTTATGAATTCTTTCGATGTATTCGTTATTAAGAGTTTCACTGTACAAAAGTGAAAAGACGACCTAAAACTCTGAAAATATGACTGTAAAGTGAAAAGACGACCTAAAACTCTTAAAATATGACTGTAAAGTGAAAAGACGACCTAAAACTCTTAAAATATGACTTTAAAGTGAACAGACGACCTAAAACTCTTAAAATATGACTGTAAAGTGAAAAGACGACCTAAAACTCTTAAAATAAGACGACCTAAAACTCTTAAAATATGACTGTAAAGTGAAAAGACAACCTAAAACTCTTAAAATATGACTGTAAAGTGAAAAGACGACCTAAAACTCTTAAAATATGACGATCCCAAGGTTAAATTCAGTCACCGCCTTGGTTGTGGTCTTATATAGTGATTTGGTAAAGAAAGAAAGAAGTTTACAGTTGTAAGAAACAGACAGTATAAATTCCCTACAGTCGTCTCTGAATTGGGTAATTCTGTATGATGTGAACCCTGGGTCACCCTGCATCAAAAAGCCATTAACTTTTGAAAGAAAATTGTGTAACCTGGCTTAAAACCATGGGAAAAATGCTTTTTTCTTACAATTTCATTTTGTTTGACTCAATTTAACTCATATTCCAATATGACTAAAGATAAAAAACCATAGTTTTATGTGTTCTTTAGTCAAAAAAGAGATATGTCACCTATCCATATGACACAGGTGAATAAATGTAACATTTTTCTTTTTGGTAAAATCTCCACAAGTTATTTACATCTTTTGGTGTATAGAAAAAAATTGTGAGAAGAATTTTTGTAATTTTTTTTCGCGAATTTTCCTAAATATCTAATGATAATATACAATAATCACAATATAAGTACAAATCTACAACAATTCTTACCAAATTACACAGATGGAACTTTTTGTTCAAGCATTTTTGTTATTTAAGATGCAATTCATAAAAGGTAGATTTTGTAAACAATGAATACATTTTTAAAGATTTATTTCTTAAGATTTGGTGCAGATTTGCACTAACATTTTTTTCACAGATTTTTGTCATATCTCTTTCATTTTCCAATGCATATTTTTATAAAATGTTGGAACCGAAAAGCATATTCGCAGATTTTGTTTTAATGTTTCAAAGTTTTTGTATTGAAAATTACATTTGAATAATTTTCAACATGAACCTTCCAGAAAAAGACTTAGTGTTGTGTTTGTTTTCCTGTACATAACTTTAACCTATAATTCAACATTTATTTTTATTTTTTATATTCAAAGGAGAGATGAAGGGGTGAAAGGGAGGGGGATTTTTTTTTGCTCAAAATTCACTTAAAAAGATATTTTTATTATTGATTTATTTTTTACACATACATATACAGCAACTTTAGTGTTCAACGTTACAGTCGAAAAGAGCCAAAAAAAAAACAAGTATTAAAGTGACTGTTCAGGAACAGTGGTTGGTGTCTCAGCTCAAAAAAAAACATTTGAAAGAAAGCAACATCGATTTAATTTAACATGCAGTTGAATAGTACTACTAGAACTAGAATTAATCATAACAGTACGCAAAAAAAGCGTCGAAGGAGTCGCATCGAAAGCGATAAAAAACGTATTTTTATGCGAATAAGATAGTAAAAGACACATTAAATGGGTACTTTTTGAAGACTTCATTTATGTGTTTACATAAAGACGCATTCGATGCGTATAAGTACATTTTCTAACTAACAAAAAAAGGGCTAAGGAAACATGTACATTGTACAACTGTAAATTTGTTTAAATATGTACACTGCATTGAAGAGACGAAACGTAAACTTTTTAATCCAGTTTTTTTATTACTTTGGCCACAGATTGGAAAACAGCTAATCTGTTATTAGGAATCAATTCGTGCATTTCTTCAATTTCATCTAGGATCTTTTACCATTAACAAGAATAAGTTGTTTAGAGACCGTACAATCTTATTTTTATTCTAAACTTTGAGTATTTTTAAGGAAAATAAGTAGTATTAATTAACATGTTAAATATATGTACAGTACATAAAGAGTATTCAGTCGAAAAACGTATCTTTCACATTTTAAATTACAATCTAAATTATCGATTTACGAGAGAAAAAACTAATTATTCACTTTTTTGATAACTTTGAACATTGTTTTCACTGATTAGACAGATGAGACAAGAGAAACAGTTGTTCTAGAATTTTTTTTACATTTAAACAAAACAGTGGTCCAACCTATTTTTTATTCTCATTTTGTCATTGAATAACTATGTATGATATCAACACCCTATAGGACCCAATGAACCGCACAATATGCGCGGTCGGAGGGGGGAGGGGGTGTAAAGATTTGCTACAAGGTTTTCATGAAAAAAGATCCAATATTAAAACAACAGCTCTCTTGTCCCATCTGTGGAATCTGTGATAGTTTTGAACACAATTGTGTACAGAAATTTGTTAAGATTTCAGAGTATTGCTGAGCTAGAAATGCCCGTTTCCAAAAACTTTAAAAACATAAAAGAGTATATTATAGTATTTGACTGTTTTCATGATTATCAATTTTAGATTTATAAATAATAAATTATCATGCGATGCGCTGGAATCAAGGAAGACGATTTTAAAAGTTAAAAAATCAAATAGACCAAAGATGAAGACTTTTAAATGAACAGAATAAGTTTAACTCATTCCGTCCGTTCAAAAAGTTCCAGCTCCGGATTATTGTCCACCTCTATAACTAGCCAGAGCAATCTGATTTGCCTGGCAAGAACGGGAAGGATTTTGTAGAAAATGCAATTTTTAGGTCCTCTTGGGACATAAACTCTGACTTAAATGTTTTTAACATTGTATTGATTAGGTTGCTGATTATAAGAACCAGGTTTGAGTTTGGGGCACATTTTTTTACATGTGAACAATTTGTGATTATTATTATGCTAAGTATGAAATAGTTTTAATATGAACACATCAATGTTTATCCTGTCACTGTGAGTTCCAACAGTGTTTACAACCGAACCATTTGTTTTCTACATTGTTATATGTACAATGTACAATTTCAAAAAGAAATTTATCTATAATTTATAATTTTTGAGATCGCATTTTAAAAGAGAAGTTGAAGGTTCAACTTGTTTCTATAATCTTCTCATGACTAACAATAGTTCCTGTTCAGTAGTTACCGGCACCGGAGATACGTTGAACCTAGACCCCGGAGAAAGATGTTCCGAAGGATGATCTAGGATCCGCTGAATGTATCCCATGGAGCTGTCGGATAGTCTGCTCTAGCTTGTATCTGTTGAGAAAGTCAGCTCCAGAATGGTATGAAGATGCAGGAGGAGTGTGAGAGGGTTGGACGCCCTGGAAACCTTGCTGAGCAGAATATTTTGTTTCCTGCTGCTGTTGCTGAGGATGGTTGTTAAATCCTTCTCCTCCTCCCATACTCTAAACATACCAGGATATTAAACCTTAATAAATCCTACCCATGGCTGACAAAAGAATTAAGTCTATATAATCGCAACCCCATGTGGTAAACCTTTTTTTCAAACTTTCAATTCTGTTAGATCTAATAATCTAATTTTGAAATATCTAAGGTTTACACCATCAGGATGCGAAGATATATAAAAATGCCCAATCTAAAGTTGGATGACCAATTTTGATATTACCAACCAATTATCTAAGATGATTTTTGAGCTTGCTATAAAAGATATTTAAGATTTCTGACATTTTCAAGATGATTTTCAGACAAACGGCGGAAATAATCCAAAATGGTCTACAGAATTCAAGATGGCTGCCCGATTTTAAAATGGCTGACCTGTTTGAAAATATTTTCCTCTAGGTTGCGCGATGACTCATCAGTTTGTTCCCCCGGAGATCGCATCTCGTTGACCGGTCGGATCGTCGTCTCAGGATGATTCCTGAGCGCCAGGTAGGCCGCGTTGTTAGGGTCCAGGTTGTTGTTGTTGTTTGTGTTGTTGTTGTTAGTTGGTGAGTTGGTGTTGTGTCTCTGCTCTCCGTTCCCGCCATCCGTTCTACATTCAGTACAAGTAGAATTGATTAGCTAGGAGAACTATATGAATCAATTAATAATAAACCAGATATTTGATTCAATTATGAAATATTTTAACTAAGAAGAAATTTCGTGAAGATATTTCTCGGAAAGCATGATTCAATTAAATACCGAAAGATCTCTTATATTTGCTAAAGGTCGTGAAAGACTGAATTATTAATAGTATTTGGTAAGGTACCTATTCTCCTGATGTCTGAGCTCCTCCTGATGAGCCCTAATGTGCTCCTGGCCTGGGCTGATCATATGGTTCCCAACCATACTCCCCATATCCCCCTCTCCGCTGTTAACCCTGAGCGCGTCTCTGCTCTGGGATCCGTCCTGCCCATGCTGCCCACGAACAGCGCTGTCTCCGATTACGCTGAAATATCATTTAATATAAATGCGATGTTTTTAAACCAAGACTATGTTGTTACATATTTCTATCAGTAGTAGTCAGATATGTTGAAATCAATGTTTATTCATAAAAAAAGTTTCTGCTCACCTAGAATGATTTGGCATACTGTGAAAGCCTGAGAAAGACATCCTAGAGAGTCCGTACTCCATGTTAGATTGATGATGGCCAATTGGAGATCTCAACGATGGAGCATTCTCCATCTTTAACTCCTGTGGAGTTGAGATCCTTGTAGATGCGTCGGAGTGGATGGGACTTCCTGTCATTCCCATCCCGCCCATACCACCCATTCCTCCCATTCCTCCCATACCTCCCATTCCCCAAGCACTCATTCCAGCGGACATAGCAGCTGCGAGGAGAGCTTCACGCTCTCTTCTCTCTGAAGCTGCTCTTTGCAGGACGTACTGAGCAGCAAATTGATGTTTTGGATCCATCCTCATCTGATCCATGTGAGCAAGCAAACCTTGGATAAGGATAAAATTAAAAAGTTAATTATCTTAAAGCTTGTAAAAATACCAAAACTTCGTAAATGCTTACCGTTCTCGTGTGTGAATACCGCTGTACATACTGTGCACGGCCACATTCTGAGACTTGAAGCCAGCTGGCTGGTCATCTCAGGGTGACAGGCCAAATGTTTTCTCAAACTTCCTTCGTTGACGTAGAACTTTCCGCACACCGGGCAGGGATGGTTTGCGCTTCGTCTCTTTGCTATAAATTAACAGGATTAAGATTATTTATTTATTAAGGGTCTCAGAATAAGACCATTTGGTGCACCATCAGTTAAATATATACCTGGAACTCCGGATGCATTAGGATCCTTGTGTACAAACTTCATGTGCTCCATTAATAGCTCTCCACTCATACATAGTTTGTTGCAGATAGGACAGCAGCTAGGATTAGGTCCACCAACCAATGCCTGGGGCTAAACATAATGAACATCATTGTGAAACAGTAGAGATCATTGTGTAGGAATGTATAAAAACAGTGGGACCCAAAAACAATGTAAAATTCCTCTTTCAAAGATTTTTAGTGAATTTGCAAAAGTGATTAATTAAATTAGAATATTTTAAACAACCCAAGGAACTTGTTTATTTTTATTGGCACCCATTGTATAAACTGATGACAAAAAAGTCATCCATTCTGCAATTTTTTCTGTTTAAAAATTGGTAAATAATATTTAGCAGCATTTTACTAAATACCAGAACTCCACTAGATACCAGAACTACACTAGATACCAGAACTACACTAGATACCGGAACTACACTAGATACCAGAACTACACTAGATACCAGAACTACACTAGATACCAGAACTACACTAGATACCAGAACTCCACTAGATACCAGAACTACACTAGATACCAGAACTACACTAGATACCAGAACTAAACTAGATACCAGAACTCCACTAGATACCAGAACTACACTAGATACCAGAACTACACTAGATACCAGAACAAAACTAGATGCCAGAACTCCACTAGATACCAGAACTACACTAGATTCCAGCACTCCACTAGATACCAGAGCTACACTAGATACCAGAACTCCTCTAGATACCAGAGCCACACTAGATACCAGAACTACACTAGATACCATAGCTATACTAGATACAGAACTACACTAGATATCACTAGATACCAGAACTACACTAGATACCAGAACTCCACTGGATACCAGAACTACACTAGATACCAGAACTCTATTAGATACCAGAACTACACTAGAACCAGAACTCCTCTAGATACCAGAACTCCACAAGATACCAGAACTTCACTACACACCAGAACTACACTAGATACCATAGCTACACTAGATACCAGAATTCCACTAGATACCAGAAATACACTAAATACCAGAAATACTTTAGATACTATAGAACTCCACTAGATACCAGAACTCCACTAGATACCAGAACTCCACTAGATACCAGCACTCAAATAAATACCAGAACTACAATAAATACCGGAACTCTTAAATAAATACCAGAACCACACTAAAGATACCATTAGTCCATTTAATACCAGAACTGCATAAGTTACCAGACATTTTTTTAGAATTTACCAAAACTAATATTTGATAAAGTTCTCAGAACATGGTAGTCTCTATAAACTCAGGTATAAAAACCAAAAGTAAATTTCAAATGTTAATTGAAAATGTTGCAAAACAAAATTCTTAAAAATCTACTTTTATTCAACTTAATCTATTACTTGCGGACAGATCATATTTCATCAAAGTAATGAATAAATGAAATAAATAATCAAAATTAATATCAACAAAAAAGTTGCGTAAAAAGCGAAATTTAGCTTTCTAAAAGTACGGTAAGAAAGTTGAATGATTTTGGCGGCAAATTGGTTTTCAGAGAGAACCCGTGTACTCCGGGTATATATTGGATACTGTAACCACGCAACCTCGATCCTATCCCATACCGCCAAACATTGGACAAATATGTATATACACCCAGAGCTAACATACACAAAACCAGAAAAAAATATTTAACAATCAGAATCTAAACTAAGTTATTTTTTCCGTTGGTCAAAAAGATAAAAATTTGTTTTTGGCAAAACTTGTTATTTTTTCTTTTAAAATTCTGAATTTAAATATTTAATAGTTTGTTTATGCGAGCTGCGTACAGAGTAATTGAGAGAAGAAGGAGAGAGAGACGTCACCTTAATCGCAGTACAGTTCTGAAAAAAAAAAATTATAAATTGATTAAACTTTTTTTAAATAAAAATTAGAAAGATCGCTTTGTTTTTCTGGAGATGATTGTAAAAGAAAGAAAGCGGGGGTCCTGACTCAATTTAACTCANCTCCACAGTCAACTCCAAAGAATCTACGAAACTTTTTTTTAAATATCTCACCTTGCCGGTGTGTGTTCTCAAACTACTTTCTGTGGCGAATCCTTTTCCACAGATGTTACAGTGAAACGGTCTGTTCTTGAGGCGTTCTATCTGACTCTCGTGGTTTCTGAGATGCTGCTGTAGGTTGGAGAGCTGGATAAACGCTCGTCCGCACTCAGGAATATGACATTTGTATGGTCGCTCCCCTGAAACAATATTCTTGATCAGTTTTTAATATTCAAGGTGGATCCACAATTAATGAGGGATCCACAATTAGAGAGGGATCCACATTTTGAGAGGGATCCACAATTAGAGAGGGATCCACAATTAGAGAGGAATCCACAATTAGAGAGGGATCCACAATCAGAGAGGGATCCACAATAAGAGAGGGATCCACAATTAGAAAGGGGATTCATTATTACAAATGTAAATTTTTAACCGAGTTTTCCATGATCATGGTTTAGGAGAGATTCTGAAAATTAAATTTGATAAAAAATGATAAACTTGAAATAAAACTTTGTCTCGACCTAAACCCTTTATTTTAAGTCTTCACCTTACACATTAAATCTTCCCTTCGATTCTGAACCCAGAGTAAAAGAGGATGTAGACGGGATTTTAAGAACCCCTTCATTTGTAAAAAGGTATGTCCGAACCACAACGGTACACTATAAACCAAAAGTGATTGAGTTATCCTTGTTTTTCCATCTGAGAACTGATCATTTTTGATTGCGGTTTAATTGCGACGCAACCACAAATTCAATCAAAAAAGAGCATGCTATTGTGAATCAGATATCAATTGAGGGTCAATTGAACTTACGTTTACAGTCCCTTTAAGAAGATTTTAAACGTGCAGCTATGAAGACCATTTTTGCCAAAATATAATTTTGTGCAGAATTCTTGATTAATTGCCGGAATTTTTTACTGGCGAGGGGGGGGGAAGCGGTTATTTTCTATTGTTTGGAAAATTGTAAAGAGATAGAGGGGAGGGAGCATAATGGAGAAGGAAGTACAATGGAGGAAGGAGTATAAATGAAGGAGGGAGTATAATGGAGGAGGGAGCATAAATGGAGGAGGGAGTATAAATGGAGGAGGGAGTATAAATGGAGGAGGGAGTATAAATGGAGGAGGGAGTATAAATGGAGGAGGGAGTATAAATGGGGAGGGAGTATAATGGAGGAGGGAAGTATAATGGAAGAGGAGAAGAGTATAAATGGAGGAGGGAGTATAAATGGAGGAGGGTAGTACAAGGAGAAGGGAATGAAGAACAAAATGTGGGGAAAATCTTCTCCAATAAAATTAACTGAAATCACCCTTAGTCCCTGTTTTTTTTAAAACACAGTTAAGTTTCCCTAGGTCGGAAGAAACACTAGAAGTTTGTCCATGATAACAATAAATTGATGTTGATTCATAGTTGACTGTGATAAACTCCGAGTAAATTATATTCTACTCTGGAATTAATATTGTCCAACCACCAGATGCAGATTATACAGAGTTACCCACATGAAACTGTGATTTTGAAAGATTAAAGGGACTGTAAAGGAAAAATGAAAAGTTGTAGTATAAAACATATCATATTCCACAAATACGAAACCAATCTGAAAACTACGATATCCAACAGAAACCTGAGAATCTGAGGTTTGCTCCTGATAAAATCCTCTAAGTTTTATTTTGCATTTTTAATAGTTGATAATATTATTACATATAGTCCGTAAAGTCCGTATTACGTCACCACAACTTCAGCCAATGGCAGTGCAGTATACGGGTCACGTGATTTCCGTCTGTATCACGTGACCAGAATACTGCACTCTCATTCGCGGAAGTTCTTGTGACATAATACGGACTTTTAAATAATATTATCAATTATATAATCGTTTTCAGATTGTTTGTGTATTTTCTGATTATAATCTGTTTAAACCTACTACTTATATACAAAATTTCATATATATATAGATTTTGAATAATTTTGACACAGTTTTGTATAAATTTCTGGAGATAGGAACATCAGATAGACGTCTTATATGTATCGTTCAACGCCTATGATTCTCAGGTTTTATCCTATACCCCCTTTCATTTTTCCTGTACAGTCCCTTTAAGTTAAGACGTAATTTCAAGTGAGTCCCATTGAAAGAGTGGAAAGTCCGATTCACAATGGGACCCTTTAAACCAACTATGAGAAAGATATTTTCGTATTTCTATCTTAAAACATGTTTTCTTTGCACCATCAATCCGCAGGTTACTTTCACTGAGAAACCACATTTGGGATTAACCAATGTTCAGAGCGAAAACTAGTGATATTTCATTCATCCTTGATCATACATTGGTTTAAAGGATACCGTTGTGATTCGAACACTACTCTTTATAAATGGAGGTTCGCGGCTACAGTCTTTTTCAATTAGATTTATATCTAACATTTATAGTTTCGAGAAGCTGTAAATTTCCTTCTTTCATTTCTATGAATCATTTAAAAAGATATATTTTAGATATGAAAACTCAGCCTTCAAATCATTACACAGGGTTTCCCCCAAAGGATGAGACCGTAAAGACGACTTTACATATTTTAGATATGGCTTCTTAAGGTTAATTTAGGTCTTCTGCCTTGAATAAAGTCTTTTACTGGCTTATTTAATGATTTAGCAAAGAAAGAAACAAGTTTACAGTTTCAGGGAACCAAAACTATAAGGAAAATGACAGTATAAAATCCGTACAGCTGTCTCTGAAGTCTCATCCGTTGTGGGTTGTGGTCAAAATATGAAAAAATACACATCATGTGTCTAACTGAAAATTCAAAGTAAAAAAACTTGACATTTGTCATGGGAGGTGCTAGGACATCGTACTGCAATCCGACATTTGATGTGTCATTACTCATGTACATTGTACATACCTGTGTGTAACCTAGTATGTTGTTGTACATGAGACAGCTGTTTAAACCTTCGGTCGCAGTACGAACATTTGTACGGTTTCTCTCCAGTATGTACTCTATATAAAGAATTAGATTATTTGTCACAAAGTGAAAATAAAAAGTCTACATTTCTCAAAAGAAATATTCTATATGACCATGTGAGGCCAATATAAAAGTATGAAACCAGAAAATACAGCATTTGGTTTGGAAAATTACGTTATGATGTGGAAAACCCCTAATAATCTCATTGTTTGTACTTGTACGGTCTAAACGTATCCCTTGATGTAATGTTTGTGAATTTCAAGCAGTATCTGTGTGTCAACCCTGAGTATGTATGTTTATAATTGAGCAGGACGGATCGGAGGGACGGTTTATCATGCTTTCTAGATTCTGATCACGTTCTTGCATCCTAGCCCTGGGAACATAACTAACATACGTCCCACACACACACACAAAACATTCTACTCAAAACGTGGATTTATTCCACCCTTTATGCACTTATAAACACACATTTTTATTCCCAAGGGAACTTTAAGTACAGGTATATTATTGTTATAGTTCATAAAACAACAGGGGGAGAGGTATGTTTTCGATCATTTTAAATGACAACGTATAATTCTAAATTAACACTTTTTGCTTAAAATCAAGTGCATACATCTCAATAAAATGCATTTTCATATTTATTTAAAACTAAACAGTTAATGTTATTTGCTCGTACTTTAATATTAATAATGAACACATTAACATTCTTGATTAGAAACTTGCATAAACATTGAACATGTTCTCAAGAGTGTGTCAAGTTTTTAGAAACTCTCTCAATGTCGCGAGAATTTAAAGAAAAAAGAAGAAAAAACGCGAAACTACTTCATGCAACAGAGGAATGCATCACTGCACGCAAACACACCAACGTCTTTCCAAACCAAATATTAACTGTCTTTCCAAAATCCAAACCAAATATTTCCAAACCAAGTATGCAATTTTTTCAGAAACCAAATACAGGTTTTCTCTCAAGATCAAAAGAGTTGAGTTTTTGCCACAAACTTTGATTTTTAAATACCTATATCTTTGGAACCAAATGTCGTAAACTTTTGATATTTCAAACTTATATTATTTGATCTAACCTAAGTAATAGTTTGAAATGTAACAGGTCTACGACATTGGAATCCCGAGATATAGGGATTAGAAAATCAGAGTAGGTGGCAAAGACTCAATTCCTTTTAGTGTTCTTTCTTTTCAGAAATTTACGGTTTATACACATACAATCATGTAAACGCCCAAGCACACAAACAAACAGAAAATATGATAATGGACAGAAATGCACTACCAATCAAACTGTTCAAACTTACAAAAGTCTGGATCTATATTAACTACTTTATCTAGGGTTTGACTTATATATTACTACCTAATATGTTAAACTATATCTATATTACTACCTGATATGTTGAACTATATATATATTACTACCTGATATGTTGAACTATATATATATATATATATATATATTGCTACCTGATATGTTGAACTATGTATTTATATTACTACCTGATATGTTGAACTATATATATATATTACTACCTGATATGTTGAACTTTATATATATTACTACCTGATATGCTGAACTATGTATATTACTACCTGATATGTTGAACTATATATATATGTATATATATATATTACTACCTGATATGTTGAACTATGTATTTATATTACTACCTGATATGTTGAACTATATATATATATTACTACCTGATATGTTGAACTATATATATATTACTACCTGATATGTTGAACTTTATATATATTACTACCTGATATTCTGAACTATATATATTACTACCTGATATGTTGAACCAACTGATGGTTACTGGAGAAGGATTTGAGACACTGTTGACACTGATGAGGTTTAACTTCAGGTCTCCCTATTCCTTCTCTTCCCAACTGCATAGCAGTCTTTGTCATCAAATACTAAAAAAAAAAATTTATTTTTTTGTGTAACTTTGTACTTAGATTTACTATCTTAATTACTCCCATAGTTCTCTTAATTCTATCTATAAGATGGGTTTAAACCATCTAAATCCCATTGTTGTATACATTGATAAGTACCTAGCTACAACTAACTTTAACAATATTTTATACATTGAAAAGTACCTATCTACAACTAACTTTAACAATATTAATCTCTCTAAATCTCCTAATCGATAAGTACTTACTACATCCTTTACATCTCCTGCATAGACTTTAACTGCTGTTCTTGTTTAAACCTATGCATCCTTTCTTTATAAACATTAACGGCTACCCCCCCTTGCACTATGCAGGCAGTCTATACCTGGGCCAGACATTCAGGCAGTCCCATGCACTGCACTCAAGCCACGAAATTTATTTAAAAATTATTTATAAAAAAAGACCCCCCTCCCTTCCTTCAATACCTTGTCAACACACATGTTGGTCTTTAGTTTTAAGCGTGTGAACTGTGAGTTTCAATAAAATATTAGAAATAATAATAATGTTTGCTTCCCCCTGTGCACAGAATGCATGCAGACAGTATAAGATGGATAGACAGATAGTAGAGGGAGGTGGTTAACCTTAGATTTAGCTGCATACCTCCAGTATAATGTAGATATAAACATATATGAACATAAATCATGTTTTAAGTTCTGATTAAAACCAAGATATTTTTGATTGGGACGAATAGTTTTAGAGAGAGACGTATATGGAAACATACGGGATATGGTCGGAATAAAAACTTGATATGTTAAGAAAAAAACGGAATATGTTTGGAAAAAGCGGAACAAATTAAAGACAAGAAACTCCGCAATATGTCGAGAAAATGACGGAAGATATTTAAAAAATACAGAAGAGATAGAGAAAAATGCGGGAAATACTTTACTTCAGAACGGTTAGAGAACTACAATAAATACCGGAACTCTTAAATAAATACCAGAACCACACTAAAGATACCATTAGTCCATTTAATACCAGAACTGCATAAGTTACCAGACATTTTTTTAGAATTTACCAAAACTAATATTTGATAAAGTTCTCAGAACATGGTAGTCTCTATAAACTCAGGTATAAAAACCAAAAGTAAATTTCAAANGGAGACATAATGGGGAGGGGGGAATAGTACGGCGTCGGTAGTCGGTACCAGGGAATTTTTAATCAATTTTACTTTTTATCTTTCAAAATTAAACAAAAACAAACTAACAACGAATAAAATAAACATTGTTTGAAACAAAAATAAACATGTTTACCAAAAAATAGAAAATAAATAACATTAAAAATGACAATTCGTATTCTAGTTAAATTAATGTATTCAGTGTTTTCTCTGGAATAACTTGAACTTAAAGAACTGAATTTCTGGAAAAAAAATAAAGATAAAATAAAGACGAAAGTTTAAACCTAGAGGGACAGATACTTGATACCTGTCTTTCTTCCTTAAAACTTGAGAAGGAAAGAATGGATGGAGAAAAGTATCTAATTAGAATAGTTTCAAAATTTAAGAAATTCATCAAAATAGTTTGGACAGAAACACACACCTTCCGGGTTAGAAAATGTATAATTTGTCGTGGATCCAGGGATCCGGCTCCAGGTTCAAACATAGAACCCAGTCCAGCTCCGAAGGATGGAGAAAGAAGAGGAGAATGTAAACCATCTCCGTTATGATGATGAGTAGTGAGACTACTGCTCCCTTGGCTCTCTGTCTCTGTTCCTTCAAGATATTCCAGTTTAGGAACTGTGGGTAGAGATAGGGGCGGATGAAACCAGGATGGAAACTCAGGTTCAACACTTTCATTCTTCTCCGGGTCTTCTCTAGATCCCTCATCCTTTCTCAGGGTACCTATCCTGCCTAAGCCTTGATCCTGGTTCCAGTCTCTAGGTTCCAGATGAGCTCCAGGTCTACCAGGAGACTGATGCTGCATAAGAATGTTGAATAAGCAAATGTTGAAATTAATTATAAATGTATTCGTAGTTGGCTTCTACAGGTTTCAATATCATGATGAAAATTGTGAAATTATTTCAAGAAAATTCAGTCTTTAATTAAATGTCAAGATAAGGTGTTCGGATCCAGGGTTTCGTGATTTAAGGAAAATATGATTTTTTCCTGACGGATTTAATTCCGATACTCAAATTCAACCTCTCGTTATTCTCGGAGATACGTACACGTTATGGATATAAGTACACATTATGGATAATTACGCATGTAAGATCTATGTTACATCTAGACAAGGATATCCATTAGATTGGAATTAAGAGGATTATTTATGATGGATGAGACATTGTACAGATTTAAGGAGTTCGTGGGTATCATATTTTTGTGTCTATGGAATTCAGTTTATATTGAATAAAAGTATTGAGAGAAAAAAGTATAATAATTATCGTTTAATAGTTTTATTATTCTTCACCCTTTTCTTTCCATTGTGAAAAAAAGTTTGGAATGATATCCAGGGATCAGAACTTTTGAATGATGAGATAAATTATATCCTGAGCTCGGATTAGATAATCTTACTTAAAAGTTCTCTGTCCTGGTTTCCCTGGATAAAATCTGGCAGGTTGAAACCATTACAGGATCTATTAGCTGAGACTAATGGCCACAAAGCTAAATTTAGGATTTAAATAGTTTTTCTTCTTCTCCCCCCCCCTTACAGTACAGTACAGTACAGTACAGTACAGTACAGTACAGTACAGTACAGTACAGTACAGTACAGTACAGTACAGTACAGTACAGAACTGTACAGTACAGAACTGTACAGTACAGAACTGTACAGTACAGAACAGTAGAGTACAGAACAGTACAGTGCAGAACAGTACAGTGCAGTACTTCAGTACTGTAAAATACATGGGTAAAATCTTATTGGGAATGTAGATAGAGATACATTTGTATACGTCTCAGATTAGATTCGATTAGATTCTGTATTTAAAAAGAAATAATTTTTAAACTTTGACAGGTTCCATTTTATTACCGTGGAACCCTTCTCCATTTGATACATATTTTATTTTCTCAAATAGAAATTTTATTTCAAACATTTGTTATAAAACCAATGTTTGATGAATTTTGCAACAAATTTAGAGATTTTAGTTCTTTTAGTTCTTTATGCAACAAGAAAACCTTTAAAATTTGCGGGATTTGACATTTAAAAATTTAATTATTTTATTTGAATTTGCAGATTCTATCATACATGGCTTGTTTTTACGTACACGAAAATTGAAATAATTACGTTCCCAGGACGAATTGGAGCAGGGACATAAAGAATATCAGTCGGGGACATAAAGAATATCAGTCGAGGACATAATGAATATCAGTCCGGGACATAATAAATATCAGTCCGGGACATAATGAATATCAGTCGGGAACATATTGAATATCAGTCCATAATGAATATCAGTCGGGAACATATGATTATCAGTCGGGGACATAATGAATATCAGTCGGGGGAATAATGAGTATCAGGGACATAATGAATATCAGTCGGGAACATATTGAATATCAGTCCATAATGAATATCAGTCGGGAACATAATGATTATCAGTCGGGGACATAATGAATATCAGTCGGGGGAATAATGAGTATCAGTCGGGGACATAATGAATATCAATCGGGGACATAATGAATATCAGTCGGAGACATAATGAATATCAATCGGGGACATAATGAATATCAGTTCGGGACATAATGAATATCAGTCGGGGACATAAAGAATATCAGTCCGGGACATAATGAATATCAGTCGGGGACATAAAGAATATCAATCGGGGATTTATCTAATACAAACTAAAAAGACAGAAAAGGGATTGGTAGGCCATGAATCTAGTTCTCATTTGCTCCGAACTAGAATTTCAAGTTCATGCACTTCTCAAGAACTTATAAAGATGAACTGAGAGGAGAGGAAAAGAAGAACCAAGTCCTTTACTTTCCAGGAACGGTTCTCTCCCCCTCTCACTGCTCTCGGCTGCAGGATGAAACAAAAGGTTTATAAAGAATGGAATATTTGATCTCTAGTACATATCTCATAATTCATTCAGCTTCTCTTTTATTCAGCCCTCAAAGAGAATAGGTTATATAAACAAAACCAAGTATAGGGTTGAATTCAAGGTTTAAGGTTAAAATAAATTGTAATTACACTTTTTGATCTAATCTTAGTAAAACTTGAAATTGTGGTACACACAATATAAGCAGTTATATATCAGTTTATCCACTAGAAAACTAGTAGTTTATCCACAAGAAAACTAGGAGATTATCCAACTAGAAAACTAGTAGTTTATCCCCTAAAAATATAGTGGTTTATCCACTAGAAAACTAGCATTTATCCCCTAGAAAACTAGGAGATTATCCACTAGAAAACTAGTAGTTTATCCACTAGAAAACTAGTTGTTTGATGAATTAAGCGCCAACCTCTAGTTTTGGTAAACCTGAATTTGACAATGAAATCACGCAATGTTTTTACATATATTTACTTTCCTAATTATTCGCAATGCAAATTAGATAAGTATAAAGGCAGGTGGAGTTAGGCTTAATTCTAACTTTAGGCTTTACATCTGTTGAGGGGACTGGGAGCAGTGTTTATAGTTTTAGAGTTTAATATTCAAAATTTATAAATTCATGCAAGTTTGGTGTTTAACATTGTGTTAGTTCTGTTCAATTTGTTTTCAGATATTTTGAAATCTTCTTTGAACAAGGGACGGACAAAAATCTCCCCCTTCAAACTTTATGTTAACATTTAGCATTAAATAAATATAATTTCAAATGTGAATCAAAATTAGTTTAAGTTAATTCAATCTGAAATGATTTCACACGATTTTAATTTGAAACATTTTCTAAATTCCAGTTCTAATGTTTTAATAATGAGCTTGGTCTTTATATATCTGAATCCTGTAAAATCATCTTTCCCCGGAGCTATGCTTCTCATCCTTTTCATTCTTAAGTATTTTGATAAACCTGTTTTAACATGTATCTCTTCATTATATCATAGTGGAAATATCTCTCGATCCGATCAGTGTTAAACCTAACAAGGAGTCGAAGATAAGCCTACCCTGGAGTCAAAGCAGGTCAGTGTTAAACCTAACCTGGAGTCAGTTTTAAAGCTAGCTTGGAGTTAGTGTTAAACCTAACCTGGAGTTCACTCATCAATTTCTCCGCCATTTTAGGATCAGAGTGAGTGTTTTGAGTGGCCTGAGCAGCTGAGTGGGGGTGTCCTGGCCAGGAGGCGTGTCTAGCCCCCCAGAAAGCTGCTGCTGGATTCCCGCCCATATCCATCATAGAATTTCCTTGAACCTGCATCATTGTGCACATTCCTTGATATCTTTGGAAAATTCATTCTCAAACCAGGACTAGAACTAAACCAGGACTAGAACTAAACCAGGACTAGAACTAAACTAGGACTAGAACTAAACCAGGACTAGAACTAAACCAGGACTAGAACTAAACCAGGACTAGAACTAAACCAGAATTAGAACTAAACCAGGACTAGGACTAGAACTAAACCAGGACTAGAACTAAACCAGGACTAGAACTAAACCAGGACTAGAACTAAACAGGACTAGAACTAAACCAGGTCTATAAATAACCCAAGACAGAAATCCGGGACTAAACTGTCAAACCACAGTAAGGAGTAAACTCTCTAAGGTAAGGAGTAAACCAGGAAACTAGAAGTAAACTCTCAAAGGTAAGGAGTAAACTCGGAAACTTGGAGTAAACTCTCAAAGGTAAGGAGTAAATCAGGAAACTGTGAGTAAGCTGTCAAAGGTAAGAAGTAAACCATGAAACTTGGAGTAAACTCCCAAAGGTAAGGAGTAAACAAGGAAACTTGGAGTAGACTCTTAAAATTAAGGAGTAAACCAGGAAACTTGGAGTAAACCAGGAATCTTGGATTAAACTCTCAAAGGCAAGGAGTAAACCAGGAAACTCGCAGTAAACTTTCATAGATACGGAGTAAACCAGGAAACTAGGAGTAAACTATCAAAAGTTAGGATAAACCAGGAAACTGTGAGTAAACTCTAAAAAGTAAGGAGTTAGCCAGGAACGTAGGAGTAAACCAGGAAACTTGGAGTAAACTCTCAAAGTTAAGAAGTAAATCAGGAAAATTGATTAAACTCTCAAAGGTAAGAAGTAACCTAGGAAACTCGGAGTAAACTCTCAAAGGTAAGAAGTAAATCAGGAAACTTGGAGTAACCTGTGAAAGGTAAGAAGTAAATCAGGAAACTTGGAGTAAACTCTCAAAAGTAAGGAGTGAATCAGGAAACTTGGAGTAAACTCTCAAAGGTAAGAAGTAAATCAGGAAACTTGGAGTAAACTCTCAAAAGTAAGGAGTAAATCAGGAAACTTGGAGTAAACTCTGAAACGTAAGAAGTAAATCAGGAAACTTGGAGTAAACTCTCAAAGGTAAGAAGTAAATCAGGAAACTTGGAGTAAACTCTCAAAGGTAAGGAGTAAATCAGGAAACTTGGATTAAACTCTCAAAGGTAAGAAGTAAATAAGGAAACAGAAGTTTAAACTTCTCGAACTGAAAATTGAACCAGGAAACTGAAACTTTATTTTTAAGAAAGAAGAATAAATTAAGATCAATCTTATTAAGATTAGATCTGAATGGCAATACTAGTGGATTGGATTGATGCTAGGATAATAGTTGGTTTAGGATACGATGTAGGACGGGATGTGTCATAAGGACTAGAGTTCTCAACCTTCGGAAAACTGCAAATCATAGAAATTAAGATCCAACCGATAAACCGAAAAGAAGGATTGTCAAGATTAATGAAGTCCCGATACTTTCTTTGATCTATTTGAGATTATCATGATAAAATTGATCCGGGGTTAATAAAACATGGGAGAAAATGAATTTTCCTTCAACCGTGTTGTTGGGACTAGTTTGACTAGGATTAATTGTCTCCGGTTTAGAATCACTGAATAAGACAAGTTTCC